AGAGAGAGAGGCCAGAGAGAGAGAGAGAGAGGCCAGAGAGAGAGAGACCAGAGAGAGAGCCCAGAGAGAGAGAGAGAGACCAGAGAGTCTCAAACACAGAAGTGAAATCAAAGCTGGAATGAAAATAAATGATAAAAAGCTGTTCTTTCAGACCAGAACAATCATGTATGTACGGTGTGCATCTGCTCTTGTTCTGTGACATCACCTGCTCAGGGACTACAGTTGTGAAGTCGCTGTTAGCACGTTAGCATTACGAGCTAGAGCTAATGACTGCATCAGACAAACTGTGCATCAACTTGCAATGAGTAACAAAACATCACAGATATTTGTAAACGTAAAATGCGTTTGACTAAAGTTTAAAAGCGAGACGTGTGACAGATCTGTAGATAAATGGCAGTCATGTGACCACTGCCGCAGATTCTCTCACTGTACCACACAACAGCGCAGTATTTAGACGCAGACTTCGCACACGTGTCTTCAAACCCTCCTCCGTCTGTCCGCGTCCAGGACATGTCACATCAATGCGTTTTTAAGTGTTTTTGTGTAGTATTTCTCTCACCATCTTGAATATTTTGCTAGCGCTGCAGATGCGGAAGTGGCGAAGACAAGCCAGCCAATCAGAAGGGCCTAATTTAGTTTTTTCCCCCCATCACATTTAGGTAGTCCCGGTAGCTACGTAACGATGCTAACACTTAACTACACCAGCACTGATGAACACTGGAATCAGAATAAAGACTGGTATATTTGGGTAAAGTTAATTTGTTATTTTAATTGATCCACAACGAGTCTGTGCGAGAGAGAGAGAGAGAGAGGGGGAGAGAGAGAGAGAGAGAGAGAGAGAGAGAGAGAGAGAGAGAGAGAGAGAGAGAGAGAGAGAGAGAGGGAGAGAGAGAGAGAGAGAGAGAGAGAGAGAGAGAGAGAGAGAGAGAGAGAGAGGGACCAGAGAAAAACAAGAGAGAGACTAGGGAGAAAGACCCACGCTCTTATTGTGTAGTCCCATTCCTTCACACCGGATGTAGGAGTGGAATTCATGCTTTTATTATGTAGTATCTTCGCCTCATGGACTGATGAACACTGGAATCAGAATAAAGACTTCTATATTTGGGTAAAGTTAATTTGTTATTTTAATTGATCCACAACGAGTCTGTGCGTTGAAATTCTAAAGGTTGATTTGCTTTTGGGGAAAAAGTGACGCGGGAGAATCTTCAGCTGAACGTAACCTTTCAGAATAAAAGTGACCAGGCGCGAGAGAGGAGAGAGAGAGAGAGAGAGAGAGAGAGAGAGGAGAGAGAGAGAGAGAGAGGAGAGAGAGAGAGGAGAGAGAGAGGAGGAGAGAGGAGAGAGAGAGAGAGAGAGAGAGAGAGAGAGAGAGAGAGAGAGAGAGGGTCCCATTCCTTCACACCGGATGTAGGAGTGGAATTCATGCTTTTATTGTGTAGTATCTTCGCCTCATACCGGAAGCGGCGCCTCGCCTCAGTCGCTTGACGTTCTTCGCCAAAACGACCCGAGCTTCTCTGCTTCTCCGGCAGAACATTCGAGAGGTAAAGGCCTAAATCCACCACACAGCTGCTTTCAAACACACTCACACGACACACATCACTCCAAACCGTCACAATCCACCGGAGGTTACTGAAGCTACTGAAGCTAGCAGCCCCGGGAGCTAGCGGCACCTGAAGCTAGCACTGTCCGCTGTTCTGTCGCAGCAGCTGGCTCCTCTGGCCTAACGCGGAGAGACACCATCAGGAGGAAATCTGACCCAAAACCACACGGAGCACGACGGACCGCGGCAGGAACACACCTAGCCCACGGTCCGTGCGGGTTTGGCTCCTCTGCAGTGGTTTGAACACAGCCTGGGCACTGGTTTTCACCCTTTGCGTCGTAAAAGTCTGACGCAATGTGATTGGAAGCCACGCTGCTGTCAGTGGCACATCCACGTCGATTATTGACCGTTTCGGGTAATGTGATGTGTCACTGGGGTTCAGCTCGTGACGTTGATTCTACACCAGACTATCTGAGATATGTTGTGTGTTTGTGCTTTGGTCCAGTCCATAATGTGTGTGTTTGTGCTTTTGTCCAGGTCTGCAGCGCGTAGGACTCCTGACTTTGGACTTTTCCTCCTGTCTCCTCCTGGACCTCCTTCGTCTCGTTCTGACGCATCGGGTGTTGTGCCTGTTGTAAAAGTGCCGTTGTTTAAGCAGAAAACGAGGCCAGCTCTCAGCAGCACGTTCACAGAGACGCGTGGAAGACCAGTGTTGGGTTTATGTCTTTGCTTTGTGAAAACGGTGAGTGCTGCGTGGTGCCCGCCGCGTCTCATTCTGACGTGTCTGGTTGTGTTTGTAAAGCCACAGTGGTCAGATGTTGGGCAATTCATCCCACACTTGAGTCCACCGGGAGCGTGTGTCTGCAGAGGCGGAGCCGCACTGTCACGCCCGCGCTCACGAGTCCCCAGAGAGAGAGAATAATACACATCTAAATCTTGTTTGTCAATTAGAACCACTTGCTAAACACACTGCGCTTCAGAGCACTTCCTGATCCAAAACTCAACAGACTAATTACTATTACATGGCTGTGTTATTCCAGTGGTATAAATGACATTCCTAGTCGTTTTCAGATATGGTGCTTGTTTGGAGCAGCAGTAGAGTAGTAGCTGTTCAATGCCCCCAATCAAACAAAATTCACTTGGCATGATATTTGGATCCCCAAGGATTCGGTTAATCGTCAATATTCAGATCACGAGTGAGATGTAAGAGTTGTGTGTGAGCGCTCGGGCCACTCACCGCGGGCCTCAGGCTGCAGCTCCGCCTCTGCCCCTTCTCCCTCTCGTCTCTTATGAATCAAAATGGCGCCTCCCAGTGCGCACTCGTGTTGCAGTGACGCAGTCTGCACCAGAGGACCAGGGCCCTCCGCTTCATATACTGTGTGTGGGAGAAGGAGGCAGGGTGAGGGGGCCCGCTGAGGCCCGGGGGGAGGGCGAACTACGAGCATTATATACAATATTAAAGACGTGACAGAAGGGATCACCAGAATCTCCTGAAACTTTAAAGCTGGGGGACGTAGCTTCTCAGCTAGGGTACACCACTCAACACTCAAATATAACTAATTTATGTTAATCTACTTCCTAGCTTTAAAACAGTTGGAGCGTCTTCCTAGCTCTGTCTCTTAAACACATGTTTAAAGCCATCTCTACCTCAGCTTTAAACATGTTATTTATTATTAATAATAATGCGTTGGTTTTATACAGCGGTTTTCTCACATCATTATGTGATAAACTAATACTGTAGCCACAGCTGCCCTGGGGCACACTGACAGAAGCGAGGCAACCAGTCTGTGCCATCGGCCCCTCCCACCACCACCAACCATTCACACACACACCAGACTCATTCTAATGTGGGGGAAGTGTCTTGCCTAAGGACACGTCCACAGTTTGGCACTTTACAGCGGCAGCCGCCCCACTGTGGCACCTGCTGTTCCCAGAAATTAAGTGTCTTACCCAAGGACACAACGACAGCAGACAGTGGGAGTCGGTGGAGAAAGTCTTGTGAAGGGCTCGAGTGACAGACCAGAGCACGTGAGCGACAGACCAGAGAAGGGATGTAAATCGGTGACCGTATAACCGGTGGTTGACCGTCACAGCGTTGACCGTCACAGCGTTGACCGTCACAGCGTTGACCGTCACAGCGTTGACCGTCACAGTGTTGACCGGTCAAAGCTGTCGGTTAAAAAAGAGAAAAGGGGAGGTCTCTTAATAACGCTATTTTAAGCCCTATTCGCCCGATGTGACGAGCGGGTCTGTACCTAGCTGTGTGCGACAATGTATCAGTAAACTCTGGGACCACTCTCACGCCGCACACGCCACATCCCCCTCTCCACACACAGCACTTTTAAACTTTAGTGGTGACCTGCGAGACGCGTCACTCGCTGCTCTGACCATGTGGACGTCACTCGCTGCTCTGACCATGTGGACGTCACTCGCTGCTCTGACCATGTGGACGTCACTCGCTGCTCTGACCATGTGGACGTCACTCGCTGCTCTGACCATGTGGACGTCCCTCGCTGCTCTGACCATGTGGACGTCCCTCGCTGCTCTGACCATGTGGACGTCACTCGCTGCTCTGACCATGTGGACGTCACTCGCTGCTCTGACCATGTGGACGTCACTCGCTGCTCTGACCATGTGGACGTCACTCGCTGCTCTGACCATGTGGACGTCACTCGCTGCTCTGACCATGTGGACGTCACTCGCTGCTCTGACCATGTGGACGTCCCTCGCTGCTCTGACCATGTGGACGTCCCTCGCTGCTCTGACCATGTGGACGTCACTCGCTGCTCTGACCATGTGGACGTCCCTCGCTGCTCTGACCATGTGGACGTCCCTCGCTGCTCTGACCATGTGGACGTCCCTCGCTGCTCTGACCATGTGGACGTCCCTCGCTGCTCTGACCATGTGGACGTCACTCGCTGCTCTGACCATGTGGACGTCACTCGCTGCTCTGACCATGTGGACGTCACTCGTTGCTGCTCTGACCATGTGGACGTCACCTGCAGCACAGCAGAATGGGAAGATTAAAAAGCAGTTCTCTGTGCTCAAAGGAGCTGAAGCTGTTGCTGGTTTTGGCACCGCTGTCTCGGTTCTGATCCAGTAGAACTCAGAGCTGCACTTATGGAAAGTACGCAGCTCGAAATGGCTGTTATTTCAAAGAACGTGGAATATTTTAAACCAAGCGGTTAATGAGGCTCGGTGGTCGGTCATGAAAATTCATAGTTTTTTACATCCCTAGACCAGAGCGAGCGAGTGAGTGAGTGACAAGACTAGACCAGATACCAGTTTGAGTTTGTTATAAAAGGTGTGTGGGTCACAGTAGTTTGAGAACAGAGCGTTTGGGCAGAAGGGGCGGGCTGAGGACAGTGGATATTGTCAGAGGCAGTGAATGTGAACAACAGAAATCCTGACGCTACAGAACTGTCCAGAATGCTGACTGTGAGGCTAAAGCCACAGACCCCAGCTTTACAGACCCCAGCTTTAAAGCCACCCTGTGTAATCTTTACAGCTGCTCCTTATGCAAAAACATGTTAACTAATAACAGATGTGACTTTTTAAGAATATTTACCTCCACCATGTTTTATGAATTGTTGTCATAGGCTCAGAATTGAACTTATAAGTGTCCGTGAGAGAGCAGTGCTCTCACTGAATATGCACCATCTTCACATGAGCCACTAATATCATTGATAAAGGAACCATGGAGGACCACAGTTATATAAAGGAACCATGGAGGACCACAGTTATATAAAGGAACCATGGAGGACCACAGTTATATAAAGGAACCATGGAGGACCACAGTTATATAAAGGAACCATGGAGGACCACAGTTATATAAAAGAACCATGGAGGACCACAGTGAACCATGGAGGACCACAGTTATATAAAAGAACCATGGAGGACCACAGTGAACCATGGAGGACCACAGTTATATAAAGTGTCAACACAAACCACACAAAGACAGCGTTAACACAACAGGTGGCACATTGTGTATTTTGTTCACAACAGACTCACACTGAACAATACGTCACTTTTTCACACTGACTATAATGAGAACGAGGCAGAATCTGCAACACAGTCTCAGGAGGTTCTGACCCGATCTGAGCCCAGTCCAACTACTATGTCACAAGTTTACACTAAACTTATTCAGGGACAAGCATCAAATAAAACACACAGAATCCCCACAAAACAATCACAGAATAATGTATCAGCAGCGAGAGTGAATGTTCTGTGTTTCTTACCTGGTGATGCAGACAGGGCGCTGTGGCTAACGCTAATGCTAACATGAGCTAATGCTAATGCTATGGCTAACGCTAATGCTAACATAAGCTAAAGCTAATGCTGTGGCTAACGCTAATGCTAACATGAGCTAATGCTGTGGCTGACGCTAATGCTAACATGAGCTAATGCTAATGCTGTGGCTAACGCTAATGCTAACATGAGCTAATGCTAATGCTGTGGCTAATGCTAATGCTAACATGAGCTTTGCCATGTTCTGCTGCTGCTGTGTATATCTCCTGCTTCTTTGATCACCACAGTTTTAACCTCACACAGACTTTATTCCTCCATGTGTCTCTTCTCTTCACACCACGTTTGTAAAACTATTTATTATAATAGATCCACATGGTAAAACTATATATTATAATAGATCCACATGGTAAAACTATATATTACAATAGATCCACATGGTATAACTATATATTATAATAGATCCATGGTCGCTGGGGCGACAGTAGCTCAGTTGGTAGAGCATTGGCCTTAAGGCCAGAAGGTCGTGGGTTCAATTCCCACCTCTGCACCTTCTCCACCGACTCCCACTGATGACTGCTGTCGTTGTGTCCTTGGGCAAGACACTTAACCCCACTTTGCCCAAAGCCCCCACTGAAAGATCAAGGCTATGCTCACACTCAGAGAGCAGCCGTCCTCCTGTGGACTCACCACCTGCAGAGGGTCAGTGAGGGGCTGGTGCTATGAGACTTGGGTGGCATCTCTGACTGCCACCCCCCTGACCCAGAAATGGATTAAAGGGAAGAAAATGGATGGATGGATAGATCCATGGTAAAACTCAGTAGAGCCTCTGTGTAGGGTGCTGCGTCTGAACAGGTCTTGTTTACATGTTGGCTCCACGCGTCTGTCAAGTGCCCGAGACATTTGGAGAGATCCGGTCATTTATCAAACTAAAGTATTCTTTCCTTGGCAGTCTGGAGAAAGACTGAGAGTCGAGGAGCTCTGTCTTTGACAGTGCTCCGTTCAGTAGACTGCAATATAAGATCTCAACACTAGATGGCACTAAATATTTGTGTGTCTCTTTACAGTCACAGACCCCAGCTTTAAAGCCACAGACCCCCCTCCTCACATGCCTCTAACCCTCTCTCCCCCTCTTCCACCTCTCTCCCAAGCCCTGGTGATCCAAGATGGCGCCCTGTTCAAATGAATGGCTTGTGCTCAGTAGTTCATGGGACTTCACAGGGAGATTAGCAGAACTCGCCCATATTTGGGCATCGTCTGGTCCTCCTGGTGCTGTGCAGTGGACAAGCTCCCATGATGCTTTGCACCAAATACGCGTGTGTGGCTTTCATGCAGACGCACAGAGGGGCTCGGCCGCACTCTGACCAATCAGAGCAGCAGGGCGGAGTCAGAGCGGGAAGGAGCAGAGTTTGTGGCAGTAAAGTGTGGATTTAACGAAAACCGAAGGATTTAAGAAGAAAAATTGTTCAGGACGACAAGAGACACTAACATCCCCACAGAATCTGATCTTTATGAAAGCTGTAGGCTCTCTGTCAGCTGAGGTCCAGTTGTTTTAGTTTACATTGAGTTCTATGAGACTTTTTTTCTGGATAGCCCCAGTGATTTTAGTCTGGTTTAGTCTGCAGTACCACAGCGCCCCCTGTGGCCATAGGTGGGACAGCTGTAAGTAGGGCTGGGCGATTTGGCTGAAAACTATATATCACGATATAACGATATATATTGAGTTTTTTTTTTTTTAACCTAAATAAATACATTTGTTGTGTGGGCTAACCAACCTTAGCAGCCTTGTTTACAGTCACGGGGGAATGAGGCTGGAGGAATATGTTCACACTGTGTCCCTCGTTGTTAGTCCTGGTTTAATCCTGTTTTTTTTTTTTATTCCTGGTTTAGCTCCTGGTTTAGCTGTTTGAGGGTCTTGTGTCCCCGTGACCGCTCCGTGCGGCTCTCTGTGCCGCACATGCTTCCCGAGGAAAAAGTTAATCTCTTGCTTTCGCCGAATACATCGGGTGTGTCCACTGCCTCTGCCGCCGCACATGTTATTCCGCGCACGTACGTGCATAACCGTTGACACGGCATTGAAACACGAGCTATAGATCCATGGACGCCACGCATGGTGCGGTTGTTGGTGTTTTTGCATTTCCCACAAAGTTTTGCGGTTCCTGCTCGGCTGTTATTGGTCGAGAAGCCTCTGCCTACATCCCCCACAATGCCATGCGCTTATGAGTCGGCTTTACTTCCGGTGTTTTCTTCCTGTTTTTCCTGACGGAGTTAAGTTAAACTATCGAACATTCTATCGACCCCATTCTCTATTGATATCGAACACATGTCTATCGCGATATATATCGTTATCGTTTTATCGCCCAGCCCTAGCTGTAAGCTAGTAATACTTTATCCTGTTATTATCAGGGCTTAAAGTTTTCCGGCACCGTGCCGGAAATCCGGCGTGAGAAAAAAAAAAAAAAAACATAACTTTTTTTTTTTTTTTTTTTTATATATATATAATATATAAATAAATAATGATTGCTGTAATTTGAAAAAAGGTTCAAGTGTGTTCTACCAATTGTATGAAAGGATTGCATGTGTATAGCGCAGGGATTAAAGAGTTCCGTCTAAGTGACGGATTTCCGTCAAATGAAATTGGTCTGAAAAAAAAACAAAATATATAATATAATACACACAATGAAATTGTTAATTATAACAAAATATATAGTAATACGTGTGAATCTGTTGTATATATCTAGATATATATTAATAATTTGAATATAATTGTATTTATATGTATATAGAAATAAAAAGTAACGAGTGGGCCTTGAACGTGCCGTGGCTAGCTACATGAGCGCTCCGCAAATGATTCAAGGCAATGGGACGTAGCCAAGTTAGCGATGGTAACACGGAGGTGAAAGTTTCTGAAAAGTGCACGGAGCTTTTGAAAAGGAGAAGAGGACAAGGAAAATGTAATCCCGAACGGAGCAATAACAGCCAGCAGCCCGCGGACCGGTAAACTGGGCGCGTTATCAGAGGAAAGGTAGGACATAATTAACGTTTACCAAACTTCCCACACTTCTTTACCTGGTGCATCAGATTCAGCGACAACTGAGACTAGGCTTGCTCTGGTGGACTGTGTCTGTGACCTAAAACTATCTGTGGCTTTATCGCAGAAAATAACCTGTCGTTCAGAACCATCACTACCGCTGGTAGATTTAATTATCATTAATCATTTGCAGTTGATAAAACTGCGCTGTGCACTAGCACCAAGTTGATAGAGTGTCCACAAACAAATGTGGACAGAATTTTGAATGTCCTTTTGCGATATTTTGACGAGGACAGAGCCAAAGGACAACGCCTCATCTCGCCTCAAGTGAAGCCAATGATACAGATGAACTACTCTCACTAATATTCTGTCAGAGTTGACAAGTTGCTTGATCCACTGGTTGTAATTTCACATCAAAATACACCAGTTTAAATGTATATCTTTGAAGAATTCGTTTGATCTGTAATTCATTATATTTCCATGAGAAAATTTTCAGTCAAATCTTTTTTTTTTTTGCTTTAACCCTGTTTATAATAAACATCAGTTGTTGGCATTAAATAGATATAAATTATATGTATGAGCGTATAAAGGCGCTTATAAAAAACGCTTATTAGTGATCATTCTATGATTCATATAGATGGTTCAGGCTCAGGAATTTTTTCAACTTTAACCCATGTATTATAGATCTCTGCTCTCTCCTCACATGCCTCTAACCCTCTCCCCATCTCTACCCTCTCCTCACATGCCTCTAACCCTCTCCCCATCTCTACCCTCTCCTCACATGCCTCTAACCCTCTCCCCATCTCTACCCCCCCTCTCCCCCTCTTTCCACACTCGCCTCTAACCTCTCCCTCTCTTTCCACACTCGCCTCTAACCTCTCCCTCTCTTTCCACACTTGCCTCTAACCTCTCCCTCTCTCTCCACACTCGCCTCTAACGTCTCCCTCTCTCTCCACACTCGCCTCTAACGTCTCCCTCTCTCTCCACACTTGCCTCTAACCTCTCCCTCTCTCTCTCTCCACACTTGCCTCTAACCTCTCCCTCTCTCTCTCTCCACACTTGCCTCTAACCTCTCCCTCTCTCTCTCTCCACACTTGCCTCTAACCTCTCCCTCTCTCTCTCCACACTCGCCTCTAACGTCTCCCTCTTTCCACACTTGCCTCTAACGTCTCCCTCTCTCTCTCCACACTCGCCTCGAACGTCTCCCTCTCTCTCTCCACACTCGCCTCTAACGTCTCCCTCTCTCTCCACACTCGCCTCTAACGTCTCCCTCTCTCTCTCTCCACACTTGCCTCTAACCTCTCCCTCTCTCTCCACACTTGCCTCTAACCTCTCCCTCTCTCTCTCCACACTCGCCTCTAACGTCTCCCTCTTTCCACACTTGCCTCTAACGTCTCCCTCTCCCTCTCCACACTCGCCTCTAACCCCTCTCTCCCTCCACACTTGCCTCTAACGTCTCCCTCTCTCTCTCCACACTCGCCTCTAACCCCTCTCTCTCTCCACACTCGCCTCTAACCTCTCCCTCTCTCTCTCCACACTCGCCTCTAACGTCTCCCTCTCTCTCCACACTTGCCTCTAACGTCTCCCCCTCTCTCTCCACACTTGCCTCTAACCTCTCCCCCTCTCCCTCCACACTCGCCTCTAACGTCTCCCCCTCTCCCTCCACACTCGCCTCTAACGTCTCCCCCTCTCCCTCCACACTCACCTCTAACGTCTCCCCCTCTCTCTCCACACTTGCCTCTAACGTCTCCCCCTCTCTCTCCACACTTGCCTCTAACGTCTCCCCCTCTCTCTCCACACTTGCCTCTAACGTCTCCCCCTCTCTCTCCACACTTGCCTCTAACCTCTCCCCCTCTCTCTTCACACTCACCTCTCCCTCTCCCCCTCTCTCTCTCCACACTTGCCTCTAACGTCTCCCCATCTCTCTCCACACTTGCCTCTAACCTCTCCCCCTCTCTCTTCACACTCACCTCTCCCTCTCTCCCCCTCTCTCTCTCCACACTTGCCTCTAACCTCTCCCCCTCTCTCCACACTCGCCTCTAACCTCTCCCCCTCTCCCTCCACACTCGCCTCTAACCTCTTCCCCTCTCTCTCTCCACACTTGCCTCTAACCTCTCCCCCTCTCTCCACACTCGCCTCTAACCTCTCCCCCTCTCCCTCTACACTTGCCTCTAACCTCTCCCCCTCTCCCTCCACACTCGCCTCTAACCTCTTCCCCTCTCTCCCTCCACACTTGCCTCTAACGTCTCCCCCTCTCTCTCCACAGAGCTGTTGCGCAGCCGTTGGAACCTGTCTGGTGGAACCGTCCTCTTGAAGCCTTCAGCTCGCGGCCACAGCGGCACAGCGTTTTTCATGTCAGAGACCGAGCTCGCTTGTACTCGTTTATGTCATCCCCTCTTTTCCAGACAGAAGATCCCGAAAAGTCCCCAAAGATCCTCTCGCCTCGCTGATAGTGCCGATAGTACTGGTAGTGCTGATAGTGCCCAGGGCCAGCTGCCACCATGTCTGTCAACGTCAACCGCAGCGTGTCGGACCAGTTCTACCGCTACAAGATGCCCCGTCTGATTGCCAAGGTGAGCGAGAGAGACCCTATGGACCCGACATCCACACTGCAGGGCACGGATAGTGGTCTTTAAGGTTGACAGTGCGCCTCATAATCCTGTGCCCTGGGTATACAGTTCTGGTTGTTTACAGAACAAGCTATAGCTTGTTATATCCCAGAATGTAGAAGTCCGAGCCACACGCTCGCATCACTGTGAATGAATGAAGCGCCAGTACGACACTCAAGCATCGCGCCAAACTACTCAATAAAAGTTTCAGGTCTGAGGCCTGGACTCCACCGGGCGCGTCTCCGTTGACGCGCGTTGGCTGCTGTCCGTCAGACGTCCGTAAAACGGACTAGTGGTCAAACCGGCTGCAGCAGCGCGCAACTCTGGCTGTGCGTTTATCAGCCTGCTTTGTTTTTGTAGGAGACACGTTTGGGCATTGTGTGAATGAATGAATGTTTGGCTGATGGAGGAGTTATGTATTGTCGGCGTGGGCGTGTGCGTGAGAGCGCCCGTGTGTGTGTGTTTGTGTGTGGTGGGAGGCGTGTGCGTGCATGTGTGTTTGGGTCTGTGACTGCAGCGTTTATTATGATCCACCTCTTCGTTTGTTTTCTATACTTATTTAGCGCGTCATACACTTTTATCGGACCCAACTCGCCTCTCCGCGGCTTTAGGCAACAGGCAGAGCTATAGTTTTAAATAGAAGAAGCGGTGTGTGATGTGCATGAGCTGTGGCTATGATCAGTGCAAAGCACGACATATTGAAGCATTGAGGACGTCGCGATGGATGAGGCAAAACTTATTGAAAGCAATTGGAAAAAGGGGAGAGAAAAGAACTCCAACATATCCAGTGTTGTGAGATCTGTCTCTCATAAGTGCAGCTCTGTGTGTGAGTGTGTGTGTGTGTGGGAGCGCGCGGCGGTGAGGAGAGAGCGCCTCGCAGGTAGACGGGACAGAGCGAGAGAAAAAAGAGCGAGGTGTATGTAAAGATTAGCGTATTAACATTACGCGAAAAACAAATGGTAGATGTACGATCAGGAAAAAATTATTAAAGTAATACATGAAAAACATTACACACGTTTGTTAATAATCATTGTCATTAACAAATACTTATAACCAAGGACTACAGCATATATCAATACATGTTTAATAATGTGGTAAATATATTATTCCATTGTATTTTCTATGGAAAACGGACCCGACACGCGTGGACGGACGTAACAAATAGGATTGTTTCTATTTTGTCCGTCCGCGTCCGTTGCACCCTCCGTTAACGGAATACGCATGCGGAGGCAGTGGAGCCACTTCCATTCACCCTCATGGAGATAACGGAGACGGAGATGAAACGGACATGTTTGGACGGATCCGTCGTCCGTCTTACGCACCCGGTGGAGTCGGGGTCTGAGTCTGTGAACTAACCTCTCTCAGATCTGTCGCTAAAGCTACAAACATTACTGTTACATTTACCTAATATTAGTGCTAGTCAAATGGACGTCAAAATGGCTGCTATGAAGAGAAATGCTTACAAAACAGATTTTAAGTCAAGCTATCAGTGACGCAGTTGAACTTGGTAAAATCTGCTGCTAATGGCGTCACTGTGATTTATTATTCTTCATAACCAGGTTGTTTGTTTAAATCAGGTGTCTCCAACCTTTTTCACCCAGAGAGCTACATTCCAAGGACGATAAAGGTAGAGAGCTACTCCTTTAAGCGGCCCTGGTAAAAATGCGGTGATATATTGGTGTCAACAAGCCTGATGTTGGGCACAGTCATTATTTATCACTGCATATTTGTTACTAGTCCCCAAAGTGCATTTACAATAATAGACAATGATAATGAATAATACAATCTGAAATACTAAGTATTTGATTTGCTCATTTCTAAATCATTTGGCGAGCTACCTGGAAGGAGGTGGCGAGCTACAGGTTGGAGACCCCTGGTTTAAATGTTCCAACTGAAACATGTCATTTTAATTAAGTTTATACTGGTAAACAATGTGATGTCACATGTGATGTCACGTGTTAAAGCTGCTGTCTGATTCAGGTGGAAGGCAAAGGGAATGGAATCAAGACGGTCATAGTCAACATGGTTGATGTTGCCAAGGCTCTGAACAGGCCTCCCACATGTGAGTCTATACCGGAGACCGGGGAGGAGACCGGGGAGGAGACCGGGGAGGAGACCGGGGAGGAGACCGGGGAGGAGACCGGGGAGGAGACCGGGGAGGAGACCGGGGAGGAGACCGGGGAGGAGACCGGGGAGGAGACCGGGGAGGAGACCGGGGAGGAGACCGGGGAGGAGACCGGGGAGGAGACCGGGGAGGAGACCGGGGAGGAGACCGGGGAGGAGACCGGGGAGGAGACCGGGGAGGAGACCGGGGAGGAGACCGGAGTGTGCTGATGAGTCCTGTCTCTTTCAGACCCGACCAAGTTTTTTGGTTGTGAACTGGGCGCTCAGACTCAGTTCGATTCCAAAAACGACCGCTACATCGTGAACGGTTCCCACGAGGCCAACAAGCTGCAGGACATGCTGGACGGCTTCATCCGCAAGTTTGTGCTGTGCTCAGAGTGCGACAACCCAGAGACCGATCTGGTAACTACTCTCTCTGTGGTCTCTCTCTCTCTCGTGTCTGTCTCTCTATATCTATATATATAAAACCATGCGTCTCCTGCAGCATGTTAATCCCAAGAAGCAAACGATCGGTGCGTTGTGTAAAGCGTGTGGACATCGCGGCATGTTGGACCTGAGACACAAGCTCTGCACCTTCATCCTGAAGAACCCACCAGGTGAGAGACCAACCAGGTGGAGAGGGAGACCAGGTGGAGACACTGTTCTAACCCATTCTAACCTGTTCTGTTCCAGAGGCCACAGAACCCGGCTCGGCTTCAGTAAAAAAAGAAAAGGAGAAAAAGAACAGAAAGAAAGACAAAGAAAACGGATCAGGGAGTGGAGAAGCCGGCAGCGAGCACATCGACGCTCCAGACGCAGTGGTAACTCCTGCTTCAGCCTGCTTCACTCTGCTTCAGCCTGCTTCACTCTGCTTCAGCCTGCTTCACTCTGCTTCAGCCTGCTTCACTCTGCTTCAGCCTGCTTCACTCTGCTTCAGCCTGCTTCACTCTGTTTCAGTCTGTTTCAGTCTGTTTCAGTCTGTTTCAGTCTGCTTCACTCTGCTTCACTCTGTTTCAGTCTGTTTCAGTCTGCTTCACTCTGCTTCACTCTGCTTCAGTCTGCTTCAGTCTGCTTCACTCTGCTTCAGTCTGCTTCACTCTGCTTCAGTCTGCTGTGGTGTTTCAGGATGGAGATGATGATGATGAGGACTGGGCGGAGGAGACCACGGAGGAGGCGCAGAGACGCAGAATGGAGGAGATCAGTGACCACGCCAAGGTCCTGACGCTGAGTGAGGACCTGGAGAAGCCGCTGGAGGAGAGGGTCAACCTCTTTTACAACTTTGTCAAGGTGTGTGTGTCAGGGTGGGTCAGGGTGGGGGTGTGTGTGTGGGTCAGGGTGGGGGTGTGTGAGATCTTCTACCTTTGGTTCTATGTTATGTTCCTGTAAAAGGCCCTGTTGGCCTAAAGCTCTACTGTAGTTTGGTAAACGGGTTTTGTCAGATTCTACACACACTATGTGTGTGACGTGCAGTTCAAACATTTACCCTCAGGCTATAGGCCCCTGGGGGCAGGGAAGAAGGCTGGGAAGTACATGTACTACAGTGCACTGAAACTAGCTAAGTGTGTGTCACTTGTGTATGATGTGTGTAGCATAAGAAGGAGAGTGGGACCATCGATGCTCTGGATAAGGAGGTCCTGGCTGAGGCAGAGCGGCTGGATGTGAAGGCCATGGGACCTCTGATCCTCTCTGAACTCCTGTTTGACGAAAACATCAGAGACCAGATCAAGAAGTACAAGCGACACTTCCTCCGGGTAAGACCAGGGGAAAGAGGGAGGGGAGGGGGGGCCTCCACATGGTCCAGAATGTCTGTCAGACCTGCTCCTCCTTCTAAGGGTATGTACCAGTGTGGAGGTCAGTGGATGTGCTGGTGACAGTGGTGCTTCTGTGTTCCAGTTCTGCCACAACAATAAGAAAGCTCAGAAGTATCTCCTGGGAGGATTCGAGTGTTTGGTGAAGCTGCACCAGGTCCATCTTCTGTCCCGAGTCCCCATCATCCTCAAAGACCTGTACGACGCCGACCTACTGGAGGAGGACGTAATCTTCGCCTGGGCCGAGAAGGTACTGCCCCCTGCTGGGGAGACACACAGCACACTCAAGAGTCAGAGCAAAACATCGTCCATGAGCACTTTCCTGTATACAGTCTGTGTTAGCATTGTCCATCTGTATACAGTCTGTGTTAGCATTGTCCATCTGTATACAGTCTGTGTTAGCATTGTCCATCTGTATACAGTCTGCGTTAGCATTAGCATCTGTATACAGTCTGCGTTAGCATTAGCATCTGTATACAGTCTGTGTTAGCATTGTCCATCTGTATACAGTCTGTGTTAGCATTAGCATCTGTATACAGTCTGTTGTATATAGGGTTGGGCAATATGGGCCTCAGCATGTATCACGATTTTTGTTGGTATGTATGACGATATGACGATATGATAATTTTAACAAAGCCTCATATAAAAGCTATAAAAACTTAGCACTGATAATTTTAAACACACTTGCCTCAAAGTGCATTTACTGATTTATTGGCAGCAACATGTGTAATACAGCTATTGTATATAAAACGTATTAACAAAACTGAATTGTAGAGAATTCTGTTTTGTACATACTGAAAATTGCAGGCAACATGTAATAAAGGTGAACATTTGTAATTTGTAAAATATATAAAAGTTTGTCCTTTGTAATATAAAAAGTGTAGCATTATCAAATAATTATTTGATCACTTTGGCTTATGTTTCCTAATCCCAATATAGTCAAAATGATCAAATACTGTATATATTTTTTGTATCCTTTTGCGTTTCTATAATTATGTAATTATAACTTAGTTGTAATTATATTGCAATGTAGACAAACACATGCATTGAAGTAAAATGAATGACAGTAAACAGTAAAAGCTTACCAATGGCACTATGAGAGAGAGAGAGAGAGAGAGAGAGCGAGTGTCCGAAGCAAGCCACTCGAGTCCAGTTGTTTAGCTGCTTTCACAACATTAGATCCACTGTCGATAGTTACACACAACTGCTTCTTTTTATCTAGTTCCCAAACTACTCCCATATGTTTGAGGTAGCTCCGCGTTTTGGCACAATGTCTTCTACAATCTGCATGTCTTCACCATGGTCTTCACCGCCGCCCTCACCCATGTTTGCTCTCTGCTCTGTTGTTGTTGTCCCTGCACGCCGCTCTGCTACACGTGCCGCGCAGATGCATCATCAAAGTGCGCCGCACACAAACGTGTCTTCCGCTCGCTGTTTTCAGTGTTAAATGATCGTTTTCACCGGTATAAGGCATTTTCTTATCATTTAATTTACTTATACCGGTACACAACAAAAATATCGCCCAACCCTAGTTGTATATTGTTGTACATAGTGACTGTAATTGTAAGAATTCTGTAATAATTCTATTTTAAATGTTATACCGTAGAAGTGTAGGCTAATTTTTATTATGCCTCACTCTATTCTCTATTCTTTACCTCTCTTCTTTGACTGTTGCACTTGTAACAGGAAGTCTGTGACTTCCTGTTACTTACGTGGCAATAAAAATCATTCTGATTCTTGTATCTCTTCTTCATGGTGTGTTTCTGCAGGTGTCAAAGAAGTACGTGTCGAAGGAGCTCGCTAAAGAGATCCACGCTAAAGCTGCTCCATTTGTGAAGTGGCTGAAGGAAGCGGAGGAGGAGAGCGAGGGCAGTGAGGAAGAGGAGGAGGAGGACGAGAACGTGGAGGTGAACTTACACCTGTGGACTTCACACTACGCCTGTGTCACAGACCTCACATTACGCCTGTGTCACAGACCTCACATTACACCTGTGTCACAGACCTCACATTACACCTGTGTCACAGACCTCACATTACACCTGTGTTACAGACCTCGCATTACACCTGTGTCACAGACCTCACATTACACCTGTGTTACAGACCTCACATTACACCTGTGTTACAGACCTCACATTACACCTGTGTCACAGACCTCGCATTACACCTGTGTTACAGACCTCACATTACACCTGTGTCACAGACCTCGCATTACACCTGTGTTACAGACCTCACATTACACCTGTGTCACGGACCTCACATTACACCTGTGTCACGGACCTCACATTACACCTGTGTCACAGACCTCACATTACACATCACATACACCTGTGTCACAGACCTCACATTACACCTGTGTCACGGACCTCACATTACACCTGTGTCACGGACCTCACATTACACCTGTGTCACGGACCTCACATTGCGCCTGTGGCCTCCACAGTGTTAGTCCTGAGCTGCAGTACTGTGTGTGTCCTGCAGGTGGTGTACTCGTCCTCTGCTCGTGAGCTCAAAGTGGAAACAGTGAAAACGGCAGAGAAAGAAGAGGATGACATCGACATTGACGCTATTTAAACTATTCCTATCTCTCCTCCTATCTCCTCCACTGCTCTCGCTCGCCCCCCTACCTCCTCCACTGCTCTCGCTCGCTCCTCTCTCTCCTCCACTGCTCTCGCTCGCCCCTCTCTCTCCTCCACTGCTCTCGCTCGCCCCTCTCTCTCCTCCACTGCTCTCGCTCGCCCCTCTCTCTCCTCCACTGCTCTCGCTCACCCCTCTCTCTCCTCCACTGCTCTCGCTCGCCCCTCTCTCTCCTCCACTGCTCTCGCTCGCCCCTCTCTCTCCTCCACTGCTCTCGCTCGCCCCTCTCTCCTCCACTGCTCTCGCTCGCCCCTCTCTCTCCTCCACTGCTCTCGCTCGCCCCTCTCTCTCCTCCACTGCTCTCGCTCGCCCCTCTCTCTCCTCCACTGCTCTCGCTCGCCCCCCTCCATCCTCCACTGCTCTCGCTCGCCCCTCTCTCCTCCCTCTCTCCTCCTATCCGCTGCCCTGAACTCGCCCCTGGCATGCCCCTCCCCTTTGCCGTGTTCTGATTGGTTGACAAGCTGAAGTTTTTGGGGGTTTAATCATGGGTGTTTTTGGGAGATGAATTATAAATAAAATGCACATTGTTTTGTTTTTTTTCCTCTTTTGATTTTTGCTTTTGTCCCTATATTTTTCCAGTACAATAAAAGATGAATGTTTTGCTATCCACCACACGACTCCTGTTTGTGAGGCCTGTAGTTTGGGCTCTTTACGAGTGGGAACAGACAGGTCCTGGTTCAGACACATTTAATCCAGAGCAGAGAGGATTCATGGTTTTACACTGGTCCAGACCAGAGCAGAGAGGATTCATGGTTTTACACTGGTCCAGACCAGAGCAGAGAAGATTCATGGTCCAAACCAAGTGGATCAGGAGAAATCCATGGGAGGAATGCTAACTTATTCATCACTTTACTGACTCACAGGGACCTGCAGATACTGACTCACAGGGACCTGTAGATACTGACTCACAGGGACCTGCAGATACTGACTCACAGGGACCTGTAGATACTGACTCACAGGGACATACTGACTCACAGGGACCTGTAGATACTGACTCACAGGTACCTGCAGATACTGACTCACAGGGACCTGTAGATACTGACTCACAGGGACCTGCAGATACTGACTCACAGGGACCTGTAGATACTGACTCACAGGGACCTGTCTTATTCATGAGACTTAACATGTTTAAAGCTGAGGTCTACTTATTTAGACTAGACATGTGTTGAGTCGGCCACAGCTGCCCTGGGACAGACCTTGTGGCTCGGTTCGGTTCAGTCTGTCGGCGAACAGTGGAGAGAATAACTTAATAGTTTTACAAAGCTCTCGAAGCTGACGTCATGGAAGTCAGAGGTCACATGTGGGAACATTTTTTTAATGTGGACATGCTGTCGCCATAGCAACATGTTAATGATTTTCAATTTAAATAACAGTTCGACAGGAAAGCCTTTTAGTTGTTTTATAAATAAAATGTTTAAACAAACACCTGAAGCAGAAGGAGCAGGGGGCTGAGTCTAGGGTCCCGGAAGTGACATCACAGGAGTTTGAGGCAGACTTCCCTCGTCACACACCTCCAGCTCATCTGGGGGAATCCTGAGGGGTTCAGCTGAGACACCTCTGTGTCCTGGTCTCCTCCTCCAGAACACCTTCCCCGGGAGACCAGGAGGCATCCCAAACAGATGAGCCACCTCCACTTGTTCCTCTCCACATGGAGGAGCAGCAGCTCTACTAAGTGCTACGACTGTGTGACTTAGCTCCTCCTATCTCTAAGGGAGCAGCGACTCTACTCTGAGCTCCTTGGGCTTGGGTGGCTGAGAGGATAGCACTCTCACTTCTCAGCAACAAGGTCCTGGGTTCGAATCCCGGTCGGAATGGGGCCTTTCTGAGTGGAGTTTGCATGTTCTCCCTGTGTCTGTGTAGGTTTCCTCCGGTTGCTCCGGTTTCCCCTACCACTAAAAACACGTACAATAGGTCTGTGCCTCCTGTACTGGCCCCTCCCATCTCTGTGTGAGTCAGAGACTAATGCCCACAATTGTGAAGGTCTTTGACTCTGGTTTATGAAAGGCGCTATATAAATAAACATTACTTACCTACTCCTCAAGTGGAGACTGGTCCTGGTCCTGGTCCTCCCCAAACCCAAACCAGTGACAAAGAGTTTCTATACACATCTATTATGGCATTGATAATCAAATCAAGTGTCATATTAGTCGACTGATTTTATTTACATTACAAGAAGATCTACTGGAAAACAAATAAAACATGTTTTTTTAGCTGCACACATTTCTAGTCATTTCAAGCCGTAGTTTAATGGTCGTAATAGTTTTCACTAATTAATGTTTACTAATCAATCGATCGGGCATCTTCAGTTGACCCAGAAAGTATTTGGTCGACTACAGCCATAGTTGTTAGTCGGAGCAGTCGTAAGTGGGTCGGACACTGGTTTGTCCCACTGTGGCGCGGCCCTTGAACGCGTCCTAATCCAGTCCAGTGCAGAGCGGCCATTTTGGATCCACCTCGCCCTGATAGCACCAGGACAGCTTCACCCGGGCCCTGTCTGCTACACCTCAGCCCGCAGGAGATGGACCAAACCCGGCTGTGGACGCGCTGTTCCCCTGGAGACCGGCTCTGAAGACCTCCCCGTAGTCCTGGAGCCCTCTTCCCCGCAGACAGACATGCTTTCACGGCCACTTTGGAGCGATTCTCCGAGGGGCAGACATTAAGTAGACCGCCTTTACTTCTCCCAGAGCCAGACAGAGATTTGTCAAACTCCCAAACGAGGTATTTCTTTCTAAACGTATGTTCCTAACTGTTTTTACCACTTTGTGTTTGCTTGTCATTCAAATACAGACAACTCTGCGCGCTGACTGTTGGTGATTTGGGCTAAAACAGGTCTGGTGTTGTGTTGAGATCTGCACCCCTGTCTATCAGCGCTACAACTCACCTACACACTTTAAAGATACTTTCTGTTTCTACAACAAATAACGATACACAGCTTCATACACCCATGTTTGTTCCTTCTGGCAGTGTATGTCATATTCAAAATGCTGTTTATACAAAGTTTTCAGGCTTGCTTCCTGTCATGTGCAACATTTCAAAGGCTTTTCCACATTCAAACCCTGTACACATTCAAACCAAGTACAGCACGCCGCTAACGTGTCCTGACTCCTAAAACATGCTTATAAAGTGTGTATATGCGACATTCCACACACGTAACTTCACTTTCTTGGCACATATTGAAGCGTATTCCGTGTTTTGCTTGTACCCGTGGTTCTTTGCAGTCGCATGAGCTGATGTCTCCTTATTTCGTCTCAGGTTTTCGCAGCTGAGCCAAAGGGATGTTACTATCGTCCGGGGAGCACCTTTCGTCTGGACACCGGCTGTGATTCTCCTCGGTCTGTGCTCAGGCAGAGTCGCAAACCTGCTTTTTGCGGCTGTTGGGCGCGAAGCATTTCCCATTTTTTAGGATTTAAAAAAGTTTGCCAGGATGTCCACCAAAACTCCACTGCCAACTGTGAACGAGAAGGGGAGCGAAAGTGTAAGTAGCACTGGTGTCACTACACCTCATTTGGTTTCAGTGTCGTTGCTGGTTCGTAGTGAGTTTACTGTGGTGTCTGTGTCATAAACACCCACATCCTCCAGATCTGAACAGAGATGGTGTAGTGTCTTCTGTGTCTGAGCAGGAGCTGAGTCCGTGTTGGTCTAAAATAACTTTTATTTGTCTCTAAAGTGACGCCAATGCTCTGTTGCCTGTCCTGTAGACAGAGCGGTGCCCTGGCCTCTCATTGGCTGCAGCTGTTGTCAGTCACTGTTCAGCGTCTATATATGGGCATAGAGGTCCCGCCCCCATGACCGCAGGTTAAAGTATGGGCTGTGTTTCCGGTGGGAGGATTTCAACACACTGTTTTTTCGAATTGAAGTCTTATGTGAGAGCTACTGTTAGGAAGCAGTCATTCTGACGGCTCCTGTTTAGATCAATGCTATTCTGAATTTAAAGGAAGTTTAACTTTTCCAAGTTTTTACCTCAAGTCAATTTAATTAGTGCCGAATATCAGTGACAACAACACAGGCTGAATAGTAAACAGTGTGTTGTTATGGCAACGGCCGGACCAGGACAAGTACAGGACCAGGGCCAGACCAGGGCCAGATTTGATAAAAACAATGACAACGACTACATACAGAAACATTCACAATGATACACACAGACACTCTCTCTGGTCTCTCTCTGGTCTCTCTCTCTGGTCTCTCTGGTCTCTGTCTTTGGTCTCTCTCTCTGGTCTCTCTCTGGTCTCTCTCTCTGGGGTCTCTCTCTGGTCTCTCTCTCTGGTCTCTCTTTCTGGTACAATCTGGGGGTAAAGTTTGAAACACAACAGTCTCTTTAAATGTCTGTCCTGCTGCTGAGGTCACATACGTTTATTTTGAAATTCTGTGGGCGTGTCCTTGTATCGACACACACACACAGAGACACACACACACACTCACAGCTGCTCACACTGAGGCTCACTCCAGAGACTGACAGCTTCATGAGGCCACAGTCATGACCGGAGCACAGCTGAACAGGAGACGGCGCAGTTCTGTGAGTAAACCCAGAACTCTCCTCAGCAGGTCCACGTCCGGGTCCGGGTCCAGGTCCGGGTCCTGGTGTCTCTTTAGGCAGTAGAAACATCGGCTTATGTTCAGTTTCAGTCCGTGCCAGTGTTGCCCATGTCTGTGCTCCATCGGACCTGCAGCTGTGTTTCTCTCTGTCCATGCTCCCTGTCTGTGCTCCATCGGACCTGCAGCTGTGTTTCTCTCTGTCCATGCTCCCTGTCTGTGCTCCATCGGACCTGCAGCTGTGTTTCTCTCTGTCCATGCTCCCTGTCTGTGCTCCATCGGACCTGCAGCTGTGTTTCTCTCTGTCCATGCTCCCTGTCTGTGCTCCATCGGACCTGCAGCTGTGTTTCTCTCTGTCCATGCTCCCTGTCTGTGCTCCATCAGACCTGCAGCTGTGTTTCTCTCCTGTCCATGCTCCCTGTCTGTGCTCCATCAGACCTGCAGCTGTGTTTCTCTCTGTCCATGCTCCCTGTCTGTGCTCCATCAGACCTGCAGCTGTGTTTTCTCTCTGTCCATGCTCCCTGTCTGTGCTCCATCGGACCTGCAGCTGTGTTTCTCTCTGTCCATGCTCCCTGTCTGTGCTCCATCGGACCTGCAGCTGTGTTTCTCTCTGTCCATGCTCCCTGTCTGTGCTCCATCAGACCTGCAGCTGTTGTTTCTCTCTGTCCATGCTCCCTGTCTGTGCTCCATCAGACCTGCAGCTGTGTTTCTCTCTGTCCATGCTCCCTGTCTGTGCTCCATTAGACCTGCAGCTGTGTTTCTCTCTGTCCATGCTCCCTGTCTGTGCTCCATCAGACCTGCAGCTGTGTTTCTCTCTGTCCATGCCAGACCCAGACCTGCTCCCTGTCTGTAAACCACATCCTGATCTTACTCCATGTTTCATGTTTATCCAGTTTCTGCACACGCACTCACGCGCACTCGCACACGCACACACACACACACACGCACACACAGGCGTGTGTGAAACTACTCTAACAAAGAAGGCGTGAGAACAGGTCTGACCAGAGACAGAGACCACTTGTAGACACCTGTTACAGTAGTTACCATGTGTGAGACCAGAGACAGTTTCATGGTAGACACCTGTTACAGTAGTTACCATGTGTGAGACCAGAGACTGTTTCATGGTAGACACCTGTTGCAGTAGTTACCATGTGTGAGACCAGAGACTGTTTCATGGTAGACACCTGTAGTCTGTGTAACCAGAGTCAGGATCGATGCTGAGGCCATTTAAAAATCAACTTGGCACAGAGGCACAGAGGCACAGAGGCACAGAGGAACAGAGGCACAGGGGCACAGAGACACAGAGACACAGAGGCACAGAGGCACACGGGCACAGGGGCACAGGGGCACAGAGGCACAGGGGCACAGGGGCACAGAGGCACAGGGGCACAGGGGCACAGGGGCACAGAGGCACAGAGGCACACGGGCACACGGGCACACGGGCACAGAGGCACAGGGGCACAGGGGCACAGGGGCACAGGGGCACAGGGGCACAGAGGCACAGGGGCACAGGGGCACAGGGGCACAGGGGCACAGAGGCACAGGGGCACAGGGGCACAGAGGCACAGAGGCACAGGGGCACAGGGGCACAGAGGCACAGAGGCACAGAGGCACAGGGGCACAGAGACACAGGGGCACAGTGACAGCTGGTCTGGTTCCATTTTGTGGTTTCTGACTTTGACGAGAGAATAACCTCATGTCTGTGACCTGCGACCTTCTGCTCCTCCTCCTCCTCCACCTGCTCCTCTCCTCCTGGTCCTCTCCTCCTCCTCTCCTCCTAGTCCTGACGTGTCCTGTGTCCACAGCACTCGTCCCGGTCCAGGACAGGTCTCAGGTCTCGCTCTGATGATCCTCAGCCTCATGTGGGAAACTACAGACTCCTCAAAACCATCGGGAAAGGAAACTTTGCCAAAGTCAAACTGGCACGACACATCCTGACGGGGAGAGAGGTGAGGGGGGGAGATAGGGGACGCAGAAGGGGGGTCGAAGAAGGAGGAGGGGGGGAGGAGGAGAAAAGAGAGGTCGGGGGGAGAGGGAGGTGAGGAGAGAGGGGAGAGGGAAAGGAAACTTTGCCAAAGTTCCCCAGACGGGGGGAGAGGTGAGGGGGGGAGAGGGGGGAGAGGTGAGGAGAGGTGAGGAGAGGTGAGGAGAAGGGGGAGAGGTGAGGAGAAGGGGGGAAAGGAAACTGGCACGACATCCTGACGGGAGAGGAGGGGGGAGAGGAGGGGGGAGAGGAGAGGGGAGAGGAGAGGAGAGGGGAGAGGAGATCAAAGTTGGTGAGAGCACATATATCATTTTTTCTCAGGAAATGGTCTTCACAATGGTCTAAGACCTGTCGTGTCACTGTGTGTGTGTCACTGTGTGTGTGTCACTGTGTGTGTGTGTCACTGTGTGTGTGTGTCTCTGATACATTGTGTTTCACAGGTGGCAATAAAGATCATCGACAAGACCCAGCTCAACCCCAACAGTCTCCAGAAGGTACAGTCTGCTGCTACTACTGCTGCTGCTGCTACTACTGCGACTAATGCTGCTGCTGCTACTGCTGCTGCTACTACTGCGACTAATGCTGCTGCTACTGCTGCTGCTGCTACTACTGCGACTAATGCTGCTGCTACTGCTGCTGCTACTGCGACTACTACTGCTGCTGCTACTGCTGCTACTGCTGCTACTGCGACTGCTGCTGCTGCTACTGCTGCTGCTGCTACTGCTGCTGCTGCTACTACTGCGGCTTCTGCTGCTGCTGCTGCTGCTACTGGCACTGCTACTTCTACTGCTGCTACTACTACTGCTACTGTGACACCTGCTACTGCTGCTACTGCGACTACTGCTGCTGCTGCTGCTGCTGCTACTACTACTGCTACTGTGACACCTGCTGCTGCTGCTGCTGCTGCTGCTGCTGCTACTTCTACTGCTGCTACTACTACTGCTACTGTGACACCTGCTACTGCTATTACTGCTGCTGCTGCATAATAAAGAAGCAAATATAAAATCTCAAGTTTAGCATTTAAGAATCAAGTAGGCCGGAGAGGCCGGAAAGAGTGAGACCGGAAAGAGTGAGACCGGAAAGAGTGAGACCGGAAAGAGTGAGACCGGAAAGAGTGAGACCGGAAAGAGTGAGACCGGAAAGAGTGAGACCGGAAAGAGTGAGACCGGAAAGAGTGAGACCGGAAAGAGTGAGACCGGAAAGAGTGAGACCGGAAAGAGTGAGACCGGAAAGAGTGAGACCGGAAAGAGTGAGACCGGAAAGAGAGTGAGGCCGACGGAAAGAGAGTGAGGCCGACGGAAAGAGAGTGAGGCCGACGGAAAGAGTGTGAGGCCGACGGAAAGAGTGTGGCCATGTAAATCAGCTGACAAGGCAGCAGAGAAGAGTCTTTATACATTTGTGCCAAAATGTCTGTGTGGCATCTGTCCATAAAGAGTCTGCTCTGAATGTTCCGGCCTCCTTTGCATACGGCGTGTGATTGGCAGACGAAAGACTCCGCACTCTATTTATAGAACTCTGCTCTGAACCAATCCAACTGTAGTATTTATATCTAGTTTTTAGTCTCATAAATGTTTAAAGCTGAGGTCTGTAGCTTAAGCTGAGATCCTCTCTCTGGTCTCTCCCTCTGGTCTCCCTCTGGTCTCGCTCTGGTATCTCTCTGGTCTCTCTCTCTGGTCTCTCCCTCTGGTCTCCCCCTGGTCTCTCTCTGGTCTCTCTCTGGTCTCTCTCTGGTCTCTCTCTGCTCTCTCTCTGGTCTCTCTCTGGCCTCTCTCTGGTCTCTCTCTGGTCTCACTCTGGTCTCACTCTGGTCTCTCTCTGGCCTCTCTCTGGTCTCTCTCTGGTCTCACTCTGGTCTCACTCTGGTCTCTGTTACATAAGTCACACAGCTGTGGATCAGACTCTGAACAGATGCCAAATATTGAAGTTTCTTGTAAACAACAAGGATCCATTAGAGCTGCTTTAACTCATGATGTGAGAGATGTCACTTTAAAGCTTGGACATAGCTTTAAAGTCCCCCACCTTTAAAGATGGAATAGTGTTTTAACATGTAGTTTACCAGTAAATTTACTCTTTTTCTTCTTTCAGCTCTTCAGAGAAGTTAGAATCATGAAGATCCTGAATCATCCGAACATCGGTGAGACACTCTTCACACACTCTTCACACACTCTTCCGACACTCTTCCGACACTCTTCCGACACTCTTCCGACACGCTTCCGACACGCTTCCGACACTCTACACACGCTCTTTACTCTTCAGACACTTTTCCGACACTCTTAAAACTTTTTGAATTGAAAGCTTTTGTTGTTTCAGTCAAACTGTTTGAAGTGATCGAGACGGAGCGAACGCTGTACCTCATCATGGAGTACGCCAGCGGAGGTCTGTGCTACTGTTTAACGCAGGGTTAAAGCTCGGGTCTGTGACTTTAAAGCTGGGGTCTAACTTCTAACATGTTATTCATGAAAAGTTAATAATGCATCGGTTTTATATAGCGCTTTTTTTGGACACTCAAACATGTCATTACATGTCATTATTCATTCACTCCAAACACGGTGGTGATAAACTACTGTAGCCACAGCTGCCCTGGGGCACACTGACAGAAGCGAGGCAACCAGTCTGTTTAAGGCTTAGAAGGTTTTTAATAAGACAAAGTAAAGAAGCTCGTTCTGCTTAATTACTACATGTTTCATCAGAGACACGTGAAGGTGATCTCTCTGGTCTCTCTTCTCTCTCTCTGGTCTCTGTCTCTGGTCTCTCCGGGGTCTCTCTGTCTCTGGTCTCTCTGTCTCTGGTCTCTCTCTCTCTGGTCTCTCTCTCTCTGGTCTCTCTCTCTGGTCTCTCTCTCTCTGGTCTCTCTCTGGTCTCTGTCTCTGGTCTCTCCAGGGTCTCTCTCTGGTCTTCAGATTGTTAAAGTCTGTCTCTTCCACAGGAGAAGTATTTGATTATCTCGTGGCTCACGGCAGAATGAAGGAGAAGGAGGCGCGTGCAAAGTTCAGACAGGTACTGGTGCGACCCTAACCTCACACTGTTATGTCTACCTTACCATACTCTACTCTACCTTACCCTACTCTACCTTACCCTACTCTACCTTACCCTACTCTACTCTACCTTATCCTACTCTACCTTACCCTACTCTACCTTACTCTACTCTACTCTACCTTACCCTACTCTACTCTACTCTACCCTACTCTACTCTACCCTACTCTACCCTTGCCTACTCTACCCTACCCTACTCTACTCTCCCCTACTCTACTCTATCCTACTCTACTCTACCTTACTCTACCTTACCCTACTCTACCTTACCCTACTCTACTCTATCCTACTCTACTCTACCTTACTCTACCTTACCCTACTCTACTCTACCTTACCCTACTCTACCTTACCATACTCTACTCTACCTTACCCTACTCTACTCTACGCTACCTTACCCTACTCTACCTTACCCTACTCTACTCTACTCTACTCTACTCTACCCTACTCTACCTTATCCTACTCTACTCTACTCTACCTTACTCTACCTTACCCTACTCTACTTTACCCTACTCTACCTTACCATACTCTACTCTACCTTACCCTACGCTACTCTACTCTACGCTACCTTACCCTACTCTACTCTACTCTACCCTACCCTACTCTACCTTACCCTACTCTACTCTACCCTACTCTACTCTTCCCTACTCTACTCTACCTTACCCTAGTCTACCCTACTCTACTCTACCCTACTCTACCTTACTCTACTCTACCTTACCCTACTCTACTCTGCCTTACCCTACCCTACTCTCCCCTACTCTACTCTACCCTACTCTACTCTACCCTACTCTACCCTTGCCTACTCTACTCTACCCTACTCTACCTTACCCTACTCTACCTTATCCTACCCTACTCTACCTTACCCTACTCTACCTTTCCCTACTCTACTCTACTCTCCCCTACTCTACTCTCCCCTACCCTACTCTCCCCTACCCTACTCTCCCCTACCCTACTCTCCCCTACCCTACTCTCCCCTACCCTACTCTCCCCTACCCTACTCTACTCTACCCTACCCTACTCTACCCTACTCTCCCCTTCTCTACTCTCCCCTAGCTTGATTGGGAGTGTTTCCTGGTCCTGTGTGACCAGTGCCAGGTCCTACTTTAGTCCTTCTTTAGTCCTTCTTGGTCCTGGTTCTATCCAGGTTGAGCTGGTGCTAAAGTGTCCTCGCTCTCTTCCTGGTCTCTCTCCTGCAGCCTGAAGCAGCAGGTGGATCATTAACGCTGTCTCTGCTTCAGAAACAGCTGAGCTTTTCAAATAAAAAACCAGTGTCCTCCCCCGTGGTCCTCCCCCGTGGTCCTCCTGTGTGTTTCTTTCTGTTTCTTTCTGTGTTTGTCTGTTCATGTCCCTCTGGTCTGTTTCAGATCGTGTCTGCAGTGCAGTACTGTCACCAGAAGCACATAGTCCACAGAGACCTCAAGGTGAGACCAGGACTAGACCGGGACTGGACCAGGACTCAGGACTGGACCAGGACTCAGGACTGGACCAGAACTCAGGACTGGACCAGAACTTAGGACTGGACCAGAACTCAGGACTGGACCAGGACTCAGGACTGGACCAGGACTCAGGACTAAGGACTGGACTCAGGACTGAGGACTGGACCAGGACTCAGGACCTGGACTCCTGGTGGGCTTTCATGGTCCTCCTCTGGTCCTTCTCTGTTCCTTCTCTGGTCCTGGTGGGCTCTCATGGTCCTCCTCTGGTCCTCCTCTGCTCCTCTGGTCCTGGTGGGCTCATGGTCCTCCTCTGCTCCTCTGGTCCTGGTGGGCTTTGGTGGGCTCTCATGGTCCTCCTCTGCTCCTCAGGCGGAGAACCTCCTCCTGGACGCAGACATGAACATAAAGATCGCAGACTTCGGCTTCAGTAATGAGTTCACGGTGGGGAACAAGCTGGACACGTTCTGTGGCTCTCCTCCGTACGCTGCTCCTGAGCTGTTCCAGGGAAAGAAGTACGACGGCCCCGAGGTCGACGTGTGGAGCCTGGGCGTCATCCTCTACACCCTGGTCAGCGGCTCTCTGCCCTTCGACGGGCAGAACCTCAAGGTGAGGGAGGAGGGGGAGGGATAGGAGGAGGGAGAGGGAGGAGGGGGAGCGTTGAGGGATTTAGGAAAAGACTGAGTACATAACTTTAAAGCTGGGGTCTGTGACTTTCAGACCAATAGAACTCATATTAAACCCATGTCTCTGGTTCAAAACAGTTGCTTCTGTCTCTAGTTTCATGTAAGTGAGTAATGTTTATTTATATACCGCCTTTCACAGACCAGAGTCACAAAGCGGTTTACAATTTTATATTATGATAAAATTGTTATCGTGAGCTGTGTATCGTATCGTGAGGCACCCTTAGGTCCCCACCCCTACTCTCCACTCAGCCACCGTGCCGTATGTATTTGGGGAGCGGACCCTCAAGTGTATGTGTGTGTGTGTGCGTTGCAGGAGCTGAGAGAGCGTGTGCTCAGGGGGAAGTACAGGATTCCCTTCTACATGTCCACAGACTGTGAGAATCTGCTCAAACGCTTTCTGGTGCTGAACCCAGGGAAACGAGGCACTCTGGAGGTGAGACACAGAGAAACTCACACACACAGGTCAGAGTAGACGCTGAAATTAATTAGTTCCGAGTTAATCACACAATCAATGACACTGATCCAGGCTGCGAGGGGAGAGGGAGGGAGGGAGGGAGGGAGGGAGGGAGGGGAGGCTGTGGTCCTCGGTGAATGAGGCTGTGGTCCTCGGTGTGAATGAGGTCGTGGTCCTCAGTGTGAATGAGGCTGTCGTCCTCGGTGTGAATGAGGCTGTGGTCCTCTGTGAATGAGGCTGTGGTCCTCTGTGTGAATGAGGCTGTGGTCCTCTGTGAATGAGGCTGTGGTCCTCTGTGAATGAGGCTGTGGTCCTCTGTGTGAATGAGGCTGTGGTCCTCTGTGGATGAGGCTGTGGTCCTCTGTGAATGAGGCTGTGGTCCTCTGTGTGAATGAGGCTGTGGTCCTCTGTGTGAATGAGGCTGTGGTCCTCTGTGTGAATGAGGCTGTGGTCCTCTGTGTGAATGAGGCTGTGGTCCTCTGTGTGAATGAGGCTGTGGTCCTCTGTGTGAATGAGGCTGTGGTCCTCTGTGTGAATGAGGCTGTGGTCCTCTGTGTGAATGAGGCTGTGGTCCTCTGTGTGAATGAGGCTGTGGTCCTCTGTGTGAATGAGGCTGTGGTCCTCGGTGTGAATGAGGCTGTGGTCCTCGGCGTGAATGAGGCTGTGGTCCTCGGCGTGAATGAAGCTGTGGTCCTCTGTGTGAATGAGGCTGTGGTCCTCGGCGTGAATGAGGCTGTGGTCCTCGGCGTGAATGAGGCTGTGGTCCTCGGCGTGAATGAGGCTGTGGTCCTCGGCGTGAATGAGGCTGTGGTCCTCGGCGTGAATGAAGCTGTGATCCTCGGTGTGAATGAGGCTGTGGTCCTCGGCGTGAATGAGGCTGTGGTCCTCTGTGTGAATGAGGCTGTGGTCCTCGGCGTGAATGAGGTTGTGGTCCTCGACGTGAATGAGGCTGTGGTCCTCGGCGTGAATGAGGCTGTGGTCCTCGGCGTGAAAGAACCATGGAGGACCACAGTGATGTAACACTGGTGCAGCACATGGTGTCAACACTAGATGGCAGTAAAAACTTCTGACTGCTTAAAGTTGTGGGTTTGTTTTTCAGCAAATCATGAAGGATCGATGGATCAACTCTGGGTTTGATGAAGAGGAGCTGAAACCATACACAGAACCAGAGACGGACATCACAGACCAGAAGAGGATAGGTGTGTGTGCGCGTGTGCGTGTCTGTGTGTGTGTGTCTCATACAGATGTGTGTCTTACAGATGTGATGGTGGGGATGGGCTACAACTTGGAGGAGATCCAAGAGTCTTTGGCAAAAATGAAGTATGACGAGATCACAGCCACCTACTTACTGCTGGGAAGGAAGGCCTCCGAGGTGATACACACACGCACACTTACAGACACACACATGTACAGAGACACACACACATGTACAGAGACACACACACATGTACAGAGACACACACACATGTACAGAGACACACACACATGTACAGAGACACACACACATGTACAGAGACACACACACATGTACAGAGACACACACACATGTACAGAGACACACACACACACACACACACACACACACACACACACACACACACACACACACACACACACACACACACGTACAGAGACACACACACACGTACAGAGACACACACACACGTACAGAGACACACACACACGTACAGAGACACACACACACGTACAGAGACACACACACACGTACAGAGACACACACACACGTACAGAGACACACACACACGTACAGAGACACACACACACACGTACAGAGACACACACACACGTACAGAGACACACACACACATGTACAGAGACACACACACACATGTACAGAGACACACACACATGTACAGAGACACACACACATGTACAGAGACACACACACATGTACAGAGACACACACACATGTACAGAGACACACACACATGTACAGAGACACACACACATGTACAGAGACACACACACATGTACAGAGACACACACACATGTACAGAGACACACACACATGTACAGAGACACACACACGCACACACGTACAGAGACACACACACGTACATGTACAGAGACACACACACATGTACAGAGACACACACACATGTACAGAGACACACACACGCACACATGTACAGAGACACACACACGCACACACGTACAGAGACACACACACACGTACAGAGACACACACACACACCACACATGTACAGAGACACACACACATGTACAGAGACACACACACATGTACAGAGACACACACACGCACACATGTACAGAGACACACACACGCACACATGTACAGAGACACACACACGCACACACGTACAGAGACACACACACATGTGCAGAGACACACACACATACAGAGACACACACACATACATGTAGACACACACACACACATGTACAGAGACACACACACATGTACAGAGACACGCACACATGTACAGACACACGCAAACTTAGAGACACACACACATGTACAGACACACACAGACACGTACAGAGACACGCACACTTAGAGACACACATGTACAGAGACACACATGTACAGAGACACACACACACACACACATGTACAGAGACACACACACACACATGTACAGAGACACACACACACACATGTACAGAGACACACACACACACATGTACAGAGACACACACGCACACACACGCACAGAGACACACACACACACATGTACAGAGACACACACGCACACGCACAGAGACACACACACACACAGAGACACACACACATTGTGGTGCCACATGACCATCACTTACAGGGACCACCCTTTGAGGGTCCTACAGCAGAACTATCAGAGAGAGCTTAAACAATATCTGTTCAATTCAAATGTAATTATGGGGACACACCTGGTATGTCAGTACTTGTAGGGACAAAACTTACACTGACTAGTTTTTTAGTTCCTTTTAGACTCATCTGGGCCACGGTTTTCCTACCACTGTTGTAGCCTGTGGTTCTGGTATGAGACCATGGGACCCTCACTGTGCCTATGCTGGTGTTTATGCCCGTGTTTATCCCCATGTTTATAGAACGACTCCACAGACTCTGTGAGCGTGTCCAGACAACGGCCGAGTAGCGAGCTGAACGGGTCGTCACCGTCGCACCTCAAAGTCCAGCGGAGCGCCTCGTCCAATCACAAGCAGCGGCGCTACAGTGAGCAAGGTATTCAGCCAATCAGCACGCTCCACACCTTCAAAACACATTTAACACACCTACAGAATCAGTTTATTTATTTGCCATTTGCAGTAAAAAACCACATTGGAATGCATTAGCAAAAGTCACCAGTGTGCACAGACAAATACAGACATAAAACAACATTAAAAGACAAAAATAAAACAAAAAAACAGTAAACAAATGTCACTGTGAAATGGATCGACTAAAACAGTTTCAAAACAAGTGCAAATCTTTAAAGTGCTCTGTTCACACTGATAACAGCCTGTGGATAAAAACTTTTAGCGTAACGAGATGTCCTGCATCTCAGAGAGCGATATCTTCTGCCAGAGGGAAGAAGCTGGAACATGGCTTTCCCAGGGTGGCCAGAAGAGTCATTAACAATCCTAAGAGCTTTGTTTAAAAGTCTGGATTTATAAAGAACCTCCAGAACAGGAAGCTCACAGCCCACGGTCCTCTTTGCAGAGCGGAGCACCTTGTTTAAAGCTCTCTTTTCTTTATCTGTGATGTTTCCAAACCACACAGACACAGAACCAACAAGAAAACTCTCAATGGTGCAGCGATAAAAGTTAAGCAGAATCTTAGAGTTAGTGGTAAATTCTCTAAGTTTACGCAGAAAGTAGAGACGCTGACGAGCTTTCTTAACGACTCGGTCAGTGTTTTTAACCCATTTCAGGTCCTTAGAGTTAAACCCAGAAACTTGCACTCCTCTACGATCTGCACCTGGGAGTTGTCGATTACGACAGGCAAATGAGAACTATTGCGACTGAAGTCGTAGACCAGTTCACATGTTTTGGATGCGTTCAACTGGAGGTTGTTAGTTTGACTCCACTGAACCACATTTTGTATCTCTGCTCTATAAGAGGATTCATCAGTGTCACTGATGAGACCGATGATGGTGGCGTCATCAGCATATTTGATGATCAAGTTTGAGTCAGAGGAGGACACACAATCGTGAGTGTACAAATTAAAAAGCAAAGGACTCAAAATACATCCCTGAGGAGAACCAGTGCTCACAGAAACAACATCAGAAAAACAGTCAGTAATTTTCACTCTCTGAGATCTGTCAGTTAAAAAGCTAAAAATCCATTTACACATGGCAACACTTAAACCGAGAGACATGAGCTTTTCAATCAGTTTACCTGGGCCAAGGCAGTTAAAAGCAGAGCTATAGTTGATGAAAAGCATTCTCGCCACATATTTACTAGTGTCCAAGTGAGTGTAGACAGAGTTCAGAGCAAAGGAGATGGCATCCTCCACACTCCTGTTCTGTCTGTAAGCAAACTGGAGCGGGTCAACACTCACAGGGATCTGGCTCTTAATGAAGTCCAGCACAAGCCGCTCAAAAGTTTTCATAAGAAGAGACGTGAGGGCCACAGGACGATAGTCATTCAGGCATGTCACAGGAGTTTTCTTAGGAACTGGAATGATGGTCGACTCTTTAAAGCAGTTCGGCACAGTACAGTTCCTTAGCGACAGGTTGAAAATGTCTGTTAGCACAGGGGCAAGTTGCTCAGAGCACAGTTTCAGGACACGGGGTGGGATACCGTCCGGGCCTGGGGCTTTCCGGACAATGGTGCTGGACATGACACGCCTGACTTCCTCCTGAGTCACGGTGAAGGTACCTTGATTGAAACACTCAGGGAATACAGTAGGACAGGCATCAGCGGATTCAAAGCGACAGTAGAACGTGTTCAGCTCGTTTGGCAGAGCTTGGCCGACAGATGCAGTTTTCCCAGCGCTAGGTTTCCACGATGGGATGGCTTTAATACCGTTCCACATGCGCCGAGGGTCATCTTCCTCAAAATAACTCTTTAACCTGTCCCCGTAACTGCGCTTTGCAGATTTAATAGAACGTTTCAATGAGTAACAGGATAACTTATAAGCAACTGTATCATTTTATTGAAACGCCAACGCACGCTCATGAAGTTTCAGTTTCACTTCCGTGTTCATCCAAGGGTTTTGACTAAAATGTTCTTTAATGACCTTCTGTGGGACACAGCCGTCAATACAGAAGCGTATGTATCCAGACACAGCGTCACAGAATTCATTGACGTCCTCTAACTGAAACACAGATCAGTCCGTAGCATCAAAACAACCTTGTAGCTTCATGCTAGCCTCCTCAGACCAACACTGCACAGTGCGAGAGGTTGGTTTATGTTCCCTGCTCCTCTGAGTATACGAAGGAAGAAGGAGAACAGAGGAGTGGTCAGACTTTCCAAAAGGAGGTCTGAGACTGCTACAGTAACGTGAAGGGAGCTTACAGGTCCAGTGATCCAGAACATGTGCTCCTCTTGTAGCTTGAGTCACATGTTGGTAAAAGTTTGGGAGTACAGTCTTTAAATTGCATTCATTGAAATCCCAGCAACAATGATGACTGCGTTAGGATGAGCAGACTCATGTTTGTGAAGGATCTCACTAAGATCCTGTAGGGCTACTTTGTAATCCGCACGTGGGTGAATGTAAACAGCACATAAAAATATCACTGAAAACTCACGGGGAAGATAAAAAGGGCGGCAGCTCAAGACCAGGCATTCCAGATTGGCAGTACATGTTTGGTTCACGACTCGAGTGTCCGTGCACCAGCGCTGATTAATTAAAAAGCACACACCTCCGCCTCTGGCCTTGCCCGTGGTCTCCTTCACTCTGTCCGCGCGGTGAGCGGTGAATCCCGGGGGCTGAACACCAGAGTCCGGGACGTTCGAGTGGAGCCACGTCTCGTTGAGACAAAACACAGCGCAGTCCCGGGCCTCGCGCTGGCTCTGGACCCGACACAGGAGCTCGTCCGTCTTGTTGGGCAGAGACTGGACGTTGGCCAGGTAGATGGAGGGCAAAGGGGTCCTGGAGGAGCGGCATCTCACAGGCAGACCGCCTCGTTTTCCCCGGTGTCTGCCGTCTCGGTCCTACTTCACAGTGGCAAGGGTCTCAAAGACAAACCGGAACAAACAAAACAGATTGTGCACACTAGAGCTCTCACTGCGGCGCCATCTTGCTCTCTCTCTCCTGTGTTTGGAGGCGGCTCGCTCTAACTCGCTTTAACTCTCTCTAACCCGCCCTAACCCGCTCTAACTTTCTCTAACTTTCTCTGACCCTCTCTCCTCAGTGGGTCAGAACCAGCCGGCCTCTCTGACCCCCTCACTCTCTCTCCTCAGTGGGTCAGAACCAGCCGGCCTCTCTCACCCCCTCACTCACTCTCCTCAGTGGGTCAGAACCAACCGGCCTCTCTCACCCTCTCTGACGCTCTGTCCTCAGTGGGTCAGAACCAACCGGCCTCTCTCACCCTCTCTGATGCTCTCTCCTCAGTGGGTCAGAACCAGCCGGCCTCTCTGACCCCCTCACTCTCTCTCCTCAGTGGGTCAGAACCAGCCGGCCTCTCTGACCCCCTCACTCTCTCTCCTCTGTGGGTCAGAACTAACCAGCCTCTCTGACCCTCTCTGACTCTCTCTCCTCAGTGGGTCAGAACCAGCCGGCCTCTCTCACCCTCTCTGACCCTCTCTCCTCAGTGGGTCAGAACCAGCCGGTCTCTCAGCCCAAGCGCTCCCAGACGTCTGCAGAGAACGGCTCCAAAGACGAGGCCTCAGTCCAGCTGCGAAAACCAAACGCACCCAGAGCAAGCCCCCTACTGGGCCAGGCCGGAAACCCCAACCAGACCGACATCCCCGCGGCACACATACCGGACCGGAGGAAAGGAGGCACCGAGACCAAGGTGAGTGCCGTCCCCGTGGCACAGATCCTGGACCAGGGTGTGTACCGGAGGACCATGAGGACCATGGGGACCATAGGAACCAGTTTAACCAGTTCAGTTCCAGTCCATGAGCTGCTGTTGGAATGCACCTCCCTGGTTCTTCTGTCTTCACCTCCTCTTTCCACCTCCTTCTCTGACCTCCTCACCTCCTTTCTTTTGTCTCTCCTCAGAATAACTCCTCTTCTGGAATGACCAGGCGAAACACGTACGTCTGCAGCGACCGGAACAACACCGAGAGGCTCTCGGTGATCCCCAATGGCAAAGAAAACAGGTGAGACATGGGTACCAGGTGAGACGTGGGGACCAGGTGAGTGAGACGTGGGGACCAGAGCTCTGTCCTCGAGGAGGATGTGTCTGATCTGTTCAAACTGAACCTTGAGGCTGAAGTTACAGACCTGAGCTTTACATCTGTAAGGCACTTCAGTTTGTTCTCTTCTCTCTCCTCTCTCTCCCCCCGCTTCTGTCCCGTTCTTCCCCATGGTGCCTGGTGCTTCTGTCCCGTTCTTCCCCATGGTGCCTGGTGCTTCTGTCCCGTTCTTCTCCATGGTGTCTGGTGCTTCTGTCCCGTTCTTCCCCATGGTGCCTGGTGCTTCTGTCCCGTTCTTCCCCATGGTGCCTGGTGCTTCTGTCCCGTTATTGCCCATGGTTTCTGGTGCTTCTGTCCCGTTCTTCCCCATGGTACCTGGTGCTTCTGTCCCGTTCTTCCCCATGGTGCCTGGTGCTTCTGTCCCGTTCTTCCCCATTGTGCCTGGTGCTTCTGTCCGGTTCTTCCCCATGGTGTCTGGTGCTTCTGTCTCCCGTTCTTCCCCATGGTGCCTGGTGCTTCTGTCTCGTTCTTCCCTGGTGCTTCTGTCCCGTTCTTCCCCATGGTGCCTAGTGCCTCTGTCCTGTTCTTCCCCATGGTCCCTGGTGCTTCTGTCCCGTTCTTCCCCATGGTGCCTAGTGCTTCTGTCCCGTTCTTCCCCATGGTGCCTGGTGCCTTTGTCCTGTGCTTCCCCATGGTACCTGGTGCTTCTATCCCGTTCTTCCCCATGGTGCCTGGTGCCTCTGTCCTGTTCTTCCCCATGGTACCTGGTGCTTCTGTCCCGTTCTTCCCCATGGTACCTCCCTCTCCGTGGGGCTCAGCTCTGTCCTGAAGTATAGAAACCCCAGTCTCCCCCACTGCGCTTTGCTCTACACAAAGTACATCACCCTGTGTGCTCTCTCTCTGTGTGCTCTCTCTCTGTGTGCTCTCTCTCTATGTGCTCTCTCTCTGTGTGCTCTCTCTCTGTGTGCTCTCTCTCTGTGTACTCTCTCTGTGTGCTCTAACACAGTGTGCTCTCTCTATGTACTCTCTCTAACAAAGTGTGCTCTCTCTAACAAAGTGTGCTCTCTCTCACACAGTGTGCTCTCTCTGTACTCTCTCTAACACAGTGTGCTCTCTCTGTACTCTCTCTAACACAGTGTGCTCTCTCTAACGCAGTGTGCTCTCTAACAGTGTGCTCTCTCTGTGTGCTCTCTCTAACACAGTGTGCTCTCTCTAACACAGTGTGCTCACTCTAACACAGTGTGCTCTCTCTAACACAGTGTGCTCTCTCTGTGTACTCTCTCTAACGCAGTGTGCTCTCTCTAACGCAGTGTGCTCTCTCTAACACAGTGTGCTCTCTCTAACGCAGTGTGTTCTCTCTAACGCAGTGTGCTCTCTCTAACGCAGTGTGCTCTCTCTAACGCAGTGTGTTCTCTCTAACACAGTGTGCTCTCCAACACTGTGTGCTCTCAGTGTGCTCTCTCTCTAACACAGTGTGCTCTCTCTAACACAGTGTGCTCTCAATGTGCTCTCTCTAACACAGTGTGCTCTCTCTCAGTGTGCTCTCTCCTGGAGGTCAGAGGGCCCCTGGTGTGTCCACTCACTCGGTCAGCTCCACGACCCCTGAGCGTCTCCGGTTCCCACGGGGCACAGCGAGCAGGAGCACGTTCCACGGGGGACAGCTGAGGGACCGACGCACAGCTACATACAACGGCCCCCCCGCCTCCCCCACCCTCTCCCACGACGCCTCCCCCCTCGGACAGACCAGGAGCAGAGGAACCAGCAACCTGTTCTCCAAACTCACCTCCAAACTCACTCGCAGGTACAAGGACAATAAACGTCTTTAAGAAACTGTGTCAGGACTGAGTTTGTCTGGAATCTCCTCCGTCTCCTCTCTGTCTCCTCCTCTATCTGTCTCCTCCTCTATCTGTCTCCTCCTCTATCTGTCTCCTCCTCTCTCTGTCTCCTCCTCTCTCTGTCTCCTCCTCTCTCTGTCTCCTCCTCTCTCTGCCTCCTCTCTGTCTCCTCCTCTCTCTGTCTCCTCTCTGCCTCCTCTCTCTGCCTCCTCTCTGTCTCCTCTCTGTCTCCTCCTCTCTCTGTCTCCTCCTCTCTCTGTCTCCTCCTCTCTCTGTCTCCTCCTCTCTCTGTCTCCTCCTCTCTCTTTCTCCTCCTCTCTCTTTCTCCTCTCTCTGTCTCCTCCTCTCTCTGTCTCCTCCTCTCTCTGTCTCCTCCTCTCTCTGTCTTCTCTGTCTTCTCCTCTCTGTCTTCTCTCTGTCTCCTCCTCTCTCTGTCTCCTCCTCTCTCTGTCTTCTCTGTCTGTCTCCTCTCTCTTTCTCCTCTCTGTCTCCTCCCTCTTTCTGTCTCCTCTCCTAGCCTCCTTGTCTCCTCTCCTAGCCTCCTTGTCTCCTCTCCGAGCCTCCTTGTCTCCTCTCCGAGCCTCCTTGTCTTCTCTCCGAGCCTCCTTGTCTCCTCTCTGAGCCTCCTTGTCTCCTCTCCGAGCCTTCTTGTCTCCTCTCCTAGCCTCCTTGTCTCCTCTCCTAGCCTCCTTGTCTCCTCTCCGAGCCTTCTTGTCTCCTCTCCTAGCCTCCTTGTCTCCTCTCTGAGCCTCCTCGTCTCCTCTCCGAGCCTCCTTGTCTCCTCTCCGAGCCTCCTTGTCTCCTCTCCGAGCCTCCTTGTCTCCTCTCCGAGCCTCCTTGTCTCCTCTCCGAGCCTCCTTGTCTCCTCTCCGAGCCTCCTTGTCTCCTCTCCGAGCCTCCTTGTCTCCTCTCCGAGCCTCCTTGTCTCCTCTCCGAGCCTTCTTGTCTCCTCTCCTAGCCCCTTACGTTGTGTTGTTGGTTTTGTTATAGAAACATGTCATTCAGATTTTCCAAAAGGTAGGACCTGGTCTCCTCTGTTCTGTTACAGTAACACTCACTAGATATAACACACACGCATGCACACACTCAGACACACACACACACACACACACAGACACAGACTCACACACAGACACACACTCACACACACACGTTTTTCGGCTGTTGGCACCGAACTAACACTTGGCTTCTTCCAAAAACTCACATTTAGACATTTACAAACACCACAGACTGGTACTGGGTCGGGGGTCTGAGGTCGGGGGTCTGAGGTCGGGGGTCGGGGGGTCTGAGGGTCGGGGGGTCTGAGGTTTTTTGTAAATGTCATGTTTTGATTTGAACTCTTTGGCTTTGGCTCAAACGCAGCATGTTCCACCGTCTGCACCAGAGTCAGGGTCTCTCTGTCTCTGTCTGTCTGGTCTCTCTGGTCTCTCTCTCTCTCTCTCTGGTCGGTCTCTCTCTCTCTCTCTCTCTTCTGGTCACTCTCTCTCTCTCTCTGGTCTCTCTCTCTCTCTCTCTGGTCTCTCTCTCTCTCTGGTCGGTCTCTCTCTCTCTCTCTCTCTCTGGTCTCTCTCTCTCTCTCTCTGGTCTCTCTCTCTCTCTCTCTGGTCTCTCTCTCTCTCTCTGGTCTCTCTCTCTCTCTCTGGTCTCTCTCTCTCTCTCTGGTCTCTCTCTCTCTCTCTGGTCTCTCTCTCTCTCTCTGGTCTCTCTCTCTCTCTCTGACCCCACCTTCAAAGTCCACTGTGTGTCTTTGTGTTGAATAAACTTTTTGTGCGTCTGCGGCGTTTGGTTCCAGAGTTTCCACTGAGTTTGAGCGAAACGGGCGACACGAGGGCACCAGGTGAGGACCACAGGGACCAGGGGACCACGGGAACCAGAGGGACCAGGGGGACCACAGATCATAGGGTCTAAACCTGTCTGGTGCATGGCTGCTGCATGATTCTACAATAATTGCTTTTACAGATGTTGTTTTGATCCGTGACTGAAAACTCCTCCTCCTCCTTGTCCTCCTCCTCCTTGTCCTCCTCCTCCTCCTTGTCCTCCTCTTTGTCGTCCTCCTGTCCTCCTCCTCCTTGTCGTCCTCCTCCTTGTCCTCCTCCTCCTCCTTGTCCTCCTCCTCCTCCTTGTCCTCCTCCTCCTCCTCTGTCGTCCTCCTCCTCTTTGTCGTCCTCCTCCTTTGTCCTCCTCCTCCTCCTTGTCCTCCTCCTCCTCCTTGTCCTCCTCCTCCTCCTTGTCCTCCTCCTCCTCCTCTTTGTCGTCCTCCTCCTCTTTGTCGTCGTCCTCCTCTTTGTCGTCCTCCTTGTCCTCCTCCTCTTTGTCGTCCTCCTCCTCCTCTTTGTCCTCCTCTTTGTCCTCGTCCTCCTCCTCCTTGTCCTCCTCCTTGTCCTCCTCATCCTCCTTGTCCTCCTCCTTGTCCTCATCCTCCTCCTCCTCGTCCTCCTCATCCTCCTCGTCCTTGTCCTCCTCATCCTCCTTGTCCTCCTCCTTCTCCTCCTCCTCTTTGTCCTCCTCCTCCTCTTTGTCCTCGTCCTCCTCCTCCTTGTCCTCCTCATCCTCCTCTTTGTCCTCCTCCTCTTTGTCCTCCTGAGGTCAGTGACACAGGTGTAGTGTGAGGTCTGTAACACAGGTGTAGTGTGAGGTCTGTAACACAGGTGTAGTGTGAGGTCTGTGACACAGGTGTAATGTGAGGTCTGTGACACAGGTGTAATGTGAGGTCTGTGACACAGGTGTAGTGTGAGGTCTGTGACACAGGTGTAATGTGAGGTCTGTGACAGAAGTGTAATGTGAGGTCTGTGACACAGGTGTAGTGTGAGGTCTGTGACAGAAGTGTAATGTGAGGTCTGTGACACAGGTGTAATGTAAGGTCAGTGACACAGGTGTAGTGTGAGGTCTGTAACACAGGTGTAATGTGAGGTCTGTGACACAGGTGTAATGTGAGGTCTGTGACACAGGTGTAGTGTGAGGTCTGTAACACAGGTGTAGTGTGAGGTCTGTGACACAGGTGTAATGTGAGGTCTGTGACACAGGTGTAATGTGAGGTCTGTGACACAGGTGTAATGTGAGGTCTGTGACACAGGTGTAATGTGAGGTCTGTGACACAGGTGTAATGTGAGGTCTGTGACACAGGTGTAATGTGAGGTCTGTGACACAGGTGTAGTGTGAGGTCTGTGACACAGGTGTAATGTGAGGACACTGGTGTAATGTAAGGTCAGTGACACAGGTGTAGTGTGAGGTCTGTAACACAGGTGTAATGTGAGGTCTGTGACACAGGTGTAATGTGAGGTCTGTGACACAGGTGTAATGTGAGGACACAGGTGTAATGTAAGGTCTGTAACACAGGTGTAGTGTGAGGTCTGACACAGGTGTAATCAGAGGACACAGGTGTAATGTAAGGTCTGTGACACAGGTGTAATGTGAGGTCTGTGACACAGGTGTAATGTGAGGTCTGTGACACAGGTGTAATGTGAGGTCTGACACGGGTGTAATGTGAGGTCTATAACACGGGTGTAATTTGAGGTCTGTAACACGGGTGTAATGTGAGGTCTGTAACACAGGTGTAATGTGAGGTCTGTAACACAGGTGTAATGTGAGGTCTGTAACACAGGTGTAATGTGAGGACACAGGTGTAATGTGAGGACACAGGTGTAATGTGAGGACACAGGTGTAATGTGAGGACACAGGTGTAATGTGAGGTCTGTAATACAGGTGTAATGTGAGGTCTGTGACACAGGTGTAGTGTGAGGTCTGTGACACATGTGTAATGTGAGGTCTGTGACACAGGTGTAATGTGAGGTTCGACACAGGTGTAATGTGAGGTCTGTAACACAGGTGTAATGTAAGGTCTGTAAGGTCTGTGACACAGGTGTAATGTGAGGTCTGTAACACAGGTGTAATGTGAGGTCAGTGACAAAGGTGTAGTGTGAGGTCTAACCCAGGTGTAATGTGAGGTCTGTAACACAGGTGTAATGTGAGGTCTGTAACACAGGTGTAATGTGAGGTCTGTAACACAGGTGTAATGTGAGGTCTGTAACACAGGTGTAATGTGAGGTCTGTAACACAGGTGTAATGTGAGGTCTGTGACACAGGTGTAGTGTGAGGTCTGTAACACAGGTGTAATGTGAGGTCTGTAACACGTGTAATGTGAGGTCCTCTTTGTCCTCCTCCTCCTCCTCTTTGTCCTCCTCCTTGTCCTCCTCCTCCGTGTCCTCCTCCTCTTTGTCCTCCTCCTTGTCCTCATCCTTGTCCTCTTCCTCCTTGTCCTCCTCATCCTCCTTGTCCTCATCCTCCTTGTCCTCCTCCTTTTCCTCCTCCTTGTCCTCCTCCTTCTCGTCATCCGCCTCCTCCTCCTTGTCCTCCTCCTCCTTGTCCTCCTCCTCTTTGTCCTCCTCCTTGTCCTCCTCATCCTCCTCCTTGTCCTCCTTGTCATCCTTCTCCTCCTTGTCCTTCTCCTCCTTGTCCGCCCCTTCCTCCTTGTCCTCCTCCTTCTCGTCATCCTCCTCCTCCTTGTCCGCCTCCTCCTCCTTGTCCTCCTCCTCCTTGTCCTCCTCCTCCTTGTCCTCCTCCTCTTTGTCCTCCTCATCCTCCTCCTTGTCATCCTTCTCCTCCTTGTCCTTCTCCTCCTTGTCCGCCCCTTCCTCCTTGTCCTCCTCCTCCATGTCCTCCTCCTCTTTGTCCTCCTCGTCCTCCTCCTTGTCCTCCTCCTCCTCCTTGTCCTCCTCCTCCTCTTTGTCCTCCTCCTCCTCTTTGTCCTCCTCCTCCTCTTTGTCCTCCTTGTCCTCCTCCTCCTCCTCTTTGTCGTCGTCCTCCTCTTTGTCGTCCTCCTTGTCCTCCTCCTCTTTGTCGTCCTCCTCCTCGTCCTCCTTGTCCTCCTCATCCTCCTCCTCCTCCTTGTCCTCCTCATCCTCCTTGTCCTCCTCCTTGTCCTCGTCCTCCTCATCCTCCTTGTCCTTGTCCTCCTCATCCTCCTTGTCCTCCTCCTTCTCCTCCTCCTCTTTGTCCTCCTCCTCCTCTTTGTCCTCGTCCTCCTCCTCCTTGTCCTCCTCCTTGTCCTCCTCATCCTCCTCTTTGTCCTCCTCCTCCTCTTTGTCCTCCTGAGGTCAGTGACACAGGTGTAGTGTGAGGTCAGTGACACAGGTGTAGTGTGAGGTCTGTAACACAGGTGTAGTGTGAGGTCTGTGACACAGGTGTAATGTGAGGTCTGTGACACAGGTGTAATGTGAGGTCTGTGACACAGGTGTAATGTGAGGTCTGTGACACAGGTGTAATGTGAGGTCTGTGACACAGGTGTAATGTGAGGTCTGTGACACAGGTGTAATGTGAGGTCTGTGACACAGGTGTAATGTGAGGTCTGTGACACAGGTGTAATGTGAGGTCTGTGACACAGGTGTAATGTGAGGTCTGTGACACAGTGTAATGTGAGGTCTGTGACACAGGTGTAATGTGAGGTCTGTGACACAGGTGTAATGTGAGGTCTGTAACACAGGTGTAATGTGAGGTCTGTGACACAGGTGTAATGTGAGGTCTGTGACACAGGTGTAGTGTGAGGTCTGTGACACAGGTGTAATGTGAGGTCTGTGACACAGGTGTAATGTGAGGTCTGTGACACAGGTGTAATGTGAGGTCTGTGACACAGGTGTAATGTGAGGTCTGTGACACAGGTGTAATGTGAGGTCTGTAACACAGGTGTAATGTGAGGTCTGTGACACAGGTGTAATGTGAGGTCTGTGACACAGGTGTAATGTGAGGTCTGTAACACAGGTGTAATGTGAGGTCTGTGACACAGGTGTAATGTGAGGTCTGTGACACAGGTGTAATGTGAGGTCTGTAACACAGGTGTAATGTGAGGTCTGTGACACAGGTGTAATGTGAGGTCTGTGACACAGGTGTAATGTGAGGTCTGTAACACAGGTGTAATGTGAGGTCTGTGACACAGGTGTAATGTGAGGTCTGTAACACAGGTGTAATGTGAGGTCTGTGACACAGGTGTAATGTGAGGTCTGTGACACAGGTGTAATGTGAGGTCTGTGACACAGGTGTAATGTGAGGTCTGTGACACAGGTGTAATGTGAGGTCTGTAACACAGGTGTAATGTGAGGTCTGTGACACAGGTGTAATGTGAGGTCTGTACACAGGTGTAATGTGAGGTCTGTAACACAGGTGTAATGTGAGGTCTGTAACACAGGTGTAATGTGAGGACTGTAACAGGTGTAATGTGAGGTCTGTGACACAGGTGTAATGTGAGGACACAGGTGTAATGTGAGGTCTGTAACACAGGTGTAATGTGAGGTCTGTAACACAGGTGTAATGTGAGGTCTGTACACAGGTGTAATGTGAGGTCTGTAACACAGGTGTAATGTGAGGTCTGTAACACAGGTGTAATGTGAGGTCTGTAACACAGGTGTAATGTGAGGTCTGTACACAGGTGTAATGTGAGTGAGTCTGTAACACAGGTGTAATGTGAGGTCTGTAACACAGGTGTAATGTGAGGTCTGTAACACAGGTGTAATGTGAGGTCTGTAACACAGGTGTAATGTGAGGTCTGTAACACAGGTGTAATGTGAGGTCTGTAACACAGGTGTAATGTGAGGTCTGTAACACAGGTGTAATGTGAGGTCTGTAACACAGGTGTAATGTAGGTCTGTAACACAGGTGTAATGTGAGGTCTGTAACACAGGTGTAATGTGAGGTCTGTAACACAGGTGTAATGTGAGGTCTGTAACACAGGTGTAATGTGAGGTCTGTAACACAGGTGTAATGTGAGGTCTGTAACACAGGTGTAATGTGAGGTCTGTAACACAGGTGTAATGTGAGGTCTGTAACACAGGTGTAATGTGAGGTCTGTAACACAGGTGTAATGTGAGGTCTGTAACACAGGTGTAATGTGAGGTCTGTAACACAGGTGTAATGTGAGGACACAGGTGTAATGTGAGGTCTCACAGGTGTAATGTGAGGTCTGTAACACAGGTGTAATGTGAGGTCTGTAATGTGACACAGGTGTAATGTGAGGTCTGTAACACAGGTGTAATGTGAGGTCTGTAACACAGGTGTAATGTGAGTAACACAGGTGTAATGTGAGGAGGTCTGTACACAGGTGTAATGTGAGGTCTGTAACACAGGTGTAATGTAAACACAGGTGTAATGTAGGTCTGTAACACAGGTGTAATGTGAGGTCTGTAACACACAGGTGTAATGTGTGAGGTCTGTAACACAGGTGTAATGTGAGGTCTGTAACACAGGTGTAATGTGTAATGTGATGTTTCGATCATGTTTGAAGAGGGTTCTTTGTCTCCTCTCTCCTCCCTCCCCCTCTCTCTCCTCTCCCTCCCCCTCTCTCTCCTCTCCCTCCTCCTCTCTCTTCCCTCCCCCTCTCTACTCTCTCCCCCTCTCTTTCCTCTCCCTCCTCCTCTCTCCTCCCTCCCCCTCTCTCTCCTCTCCCTCCTCCTCTCTCCTCCCTCCCCCTCTCTCTCCTCTCCCTCCTCCTCTCTTGTGTCATACGTGTCAGTGTCTAATATGGTCTGTGTCCTCCACAGTCGTCACGTGCCCTCCTCCTCCCCCTCAGACCTCCTCCCTCCCCCTCGGGGGGAGTCAAAGCCTCGCTCTCTGCGTTTCACTTGGAGCATGAGGACCACCAGCTCCATGGAGCCCAACCACATCCTGCGAGAGATCCGCAAAGTGCTGGACGCCAACAGCTGCGACTACGAGCAGCAGGAGAGCTTCTTGCTGCTGTGTGTGCACGGGGAGGCCCGGCCGGAGGGGGAGGCCACGGGGGAGGCTGCGGGGGAGGGACGAGCTGACCTGGTGCAGTGGGAGATGGAGGTGTGTAAACTGCCACGACTGTCGCTCAACGGAGTCCGCTTCAAGAGGATCTCAGGCTCCTCTATCGCCTTCAAGAACATAGCTTCTAAAGTGGCCAACGAGTTAAAACTATGAGCTGAGAGGAGCCACAGCTGCACGGCCGGGGGAGACAGGGGGAGAGAGGGGGAGGTGCTCTGAGTCTCCCCCTCACTTCCCCCTCACAGACCACTCTGTTGAATCTGTCTCATCTTTTCAGACTTTTATATCGTCCAGCTCAACTGGTGACAGTTTCCCTCAAGTCACTGACTCCTCCCTCTCTCCTGCTCCTCCCTCTCTCCTGCTCCTCTCTCTCTCCTGCTCCTCCCTCTCTCCTGCTCCTCCCTCTCTATTACTCCTCCCTCTCTACTGCTCCTCCCTCTCTATTGCTCCTCCCTCTCTATTGCTCCTCCCTCTATTGCTCCTCCCTCTCCATTGCACGTCCCTCTCTATTTCTCCTCCCTCTCTCCTGCTCCTCCCTCTCCATTTCTCCTCCCTCTCCATTTCTCCTCCCTCTCCATTTCTCCTCCTCTCTATTGCTCCTCCCTCTCTATTGCTCCTCCCTCTCTATTGCTCCTCCCTCTCTATTTCTCCTCCCTCTCTATTGCTCCTCCCTCTCTATTGCTCCTCCCTCTCTCCTGCTCTTCCCTCTTTCCCTCTCCTGTTACTCCTCTCTCTTCTCCCTTTCCCTCTCTCCCTCATCCTCTCCTCCGTCCCTCTCCCTCATCCTCTCCTCCCTCTCCCCCTCCCTCTCCTCCCTCCCTCTCCTGGTCGTGTTTTCTGCAGCACTAGTAGCAGTTTTCCAAATCCAAACCTCTTTTTTAATGTATGGAATATTATTATATTGTAAAGAGAAACTAAAATGTTTTTGGCAATAATCACAAATACTAATGTGTTTGGGACGGTGTGGATGTGGCGGTCAGGGACTGAGCACAGGGACTGAGCAGCACAGGGTTTAGAAGTACGCAACGATGCAACACTGGACTCATGATCCTCATGACCTTCATGACCCTCATGACCCTGTGGTGTGATTCTTTGAGAAAGCTGCAGTTTCAGTGAAATCCACATGATTGTCTCTTAACTCCTTGTCACAATAACATTGGGTCCAATACGAGCCCCTGGGGGACCCCTGGTTACATTCATCAGGTTCTTCTACCCTTCTGTTCTACTGCTGTGTGTTCAAACTGGTTCCTCACCTGTGTGCCTTCAGTAAGATCGCACCATGTTGGATGTAAGATTACACTGCCATATATTCTAGAGCGAAGCCACAAGGAGCTGAGCACGTGTCACTTCCTGTGCGTGTCACTTCCTGTGCAGCAGACTCTCGTTGCGTGCTTCTAAACGGGTTTTGCAGACTCCGGTCTCCTTCTGAGTTGATGCTGTGAATGGACGAGAGTTTAGTCTTATTTATTATTTCCCATGTTTCTGTTTCTCCTTCAGTTAAAGATGTTTGTTCTCGGTGTAAATAATGTAATCTTGATTTGAATCCGCTTCACTTCTGCTGTTTTTGTATTTGAGGCAGATGTAAAAACCACACGTGATGCATTAAAGTGTCTCAAAACCCACTCTTTTCTGAAAACTCTTTTCAAGTAATTAATGCCTTCAAATTAATCTCAGCCAATTATGAAGCAGCGTCAGGGGTAAGCAGCACCGTTCTACACTCCTACACAGCCTTCACGCTTCTAACTCGACTCCACCGTGCGCTAGTCAAGCCACAGTTCCGACAGAGACTCGTGCGAACGATGCCCTAGAAGCCCCGATCCCCCTCGGCCATTCCAGCCGCGAAGATTCGCACAGCGGCCCCGAAAGCAAGCACAAAAGCTGTAGAGCGTGTCGCGCTGGTAAAGCCAGAAGCGAGACAAGGTCCGTCATCCCCCCACTGAGCTTCCGCGTACTAACTAATCGGCTTCGCCCTCTTCTATGCCATTTACAAGCGTCGGGCTAGTACATAGCGCTAAAGTCCGAGAGCTTCCAGAAGCACCTCGGGTCCCTACTACTTCCGGGTGAAACAACACCCAGCAGGTTTCTCCGCGACCACGTCACGAACTCCCACTTCTCACGAGAGAGGGGCCTCTGCGCGTCTCTACCAACCCGTCCACCTTCGTTCAGAGAGCCCACCTTAGCGCTCCCACCCGAGCGACGAGAGAATAGATTCTGAGGCGCGTAGCTTCTCCACTGAAGCGAGACACACTGATCCCCGATATCGATCTCACATAGCAGTCCCAGTCTCGCGATGTAAATGTCACCTTAGAAGGCAGCGACTAGCAGTAGCCAGACCCTGCCAACTATCTTCATAAATACTTCCCGAAGACGACGCGACCCCTCCCCCGAAGCCCGCCCTCTGCGACATTCTCAGGAGCCCTGCTGCCCTGATGAGCCCAGTGTTCCTATAGGATACGATCGAACGACAACTCGAACCATCTCAGAAGACCACGGTGCATAGAGCAGTCTACGAAGCAAAACCTAAGGTCTTCTAATCTGAGATGATCGGTCTCTTCTAGCCACCACTACTTCCGTCGAACACCACTTCCTCACGGATTCTTATCAGGAGTTTTGCTATTGAGCCTCTCTACTCGAAACAACCTGAAGCAAGCTTGAAAGATCGTAGAGGACAAGGCAAAAGACAGAGAGATAAGATAAAAAAACACAACGTCTAATCCCGAGACTATCGAAAGGCTAGCGTAGGAGTGAGAACAGAGCTCCAATCTAAAAGGTTTCATCGAGAGCGTCAGCAACCTTATACTCGAGAGACTAGTGCTAGAAACGTTTTATCAAGCTCGCGAGTACACAAATACCCACATGCGACCCGACTGACCTTCTGGAAACGAATCGAGACGCAGCGGAACGTGATGAGAGAAACAGCGCAAGACAAAGGCGCGAGAGAGGTGTTTACCACGACAATGACGAATCAGCTCGGACCCACAAGATAGCTGCCGCGAGGAGAAAATAACAGAGCGCAAGAGGACATGCGGTGAGAAAGGAAGCGAGGACAGTGTCACACTAACGTCGGAGACAATCTCCCAAAAATCCCAAAGGTAGGTCTCTGGGGCGGCAGTGAAGTGCGGTACGCTGCGCAGACTCGAGAGCCTCAAGCTTCAGTGAGACATAGAGAGGCTATCACGAGTTCGAGGACGGCAACCGCCGAAGCGGCGATCTTCTCAACGCGAGTACAAAGACACCGACCAATAAGAGCCGCCATCCGAGACGCTTAAACACATGGAAGAAGAGGATGCAGAGTAAGCGGGGGGTGCTCAGACTCCAGCTACAGAGCACAACCCCCCACTGCCGCAGACTTTGAGGTGCACGCGAGGGTACCTCTTGAAGTACAGGTCTGCGATAGTAGCGTGGCTTAGGCTCTTGAGCGACGCGGCGACGAGGCTTGAGACCGCGGTGCGAGATGAGAGTAGGTGAGAATCGGTGGAGTGAATAGGGAGATCAGTGAGGAGCGCATCGACAACCCCCAAAGGTCTGCGGAGAGAGCGTCGGCGTGCACTGAGTGAGGAGAGCGCGTTCTCAAAGAACGGGAACACGAGCCAACTTACTCTCGGAGCGACCGTGGCTGAGAGTCGACTACTTCACAGCTCGCTTATATCTCCCGCCTCTATCACTAACACTGCTATCCGGTCCACTAAGACGTCAGAGTCTTCGCTACTCGTAGTGCCGGAGATACATGCGGCGGATCCATCGTGGAGAGACAGGAGAGAATCGCATGACAATGTGCCCAAGAGGATTCGTGCTGCGATAGCGGAGAGGCCGGGAGATCGGCAGAGGGTTTCGAAGCAGGAGGCTGAGCTTATGAGCAGTCTTGCGGCCAAGCTCAAGGGGAGAACAAGAGGATGCGCTCCAACAGGCCGCAAAAGGAGATGAGGCGATCCGATCGGAGAATCCTGCGGCTCGTTATTCTATACCCAGTAGCGCGTAGAGCGCGGAGCGAGCGATCAAAGAACAGGCAGGGTCCTCGACTAGACGATCTTCGACCCCACACACATGACTCACAAATATAGCCAGCGCTCATGACCAGCACAAGCCCGGTGTGAAAAAGTGCGTAGCGCCCACCTAAAGCAGAGATCCTCTATACAAAAAGGTTCTTCTGAGGGCGAGTTACACGAGAGGCATTGGCGATTATTTGGCTCAGTACCAAAACTCCTGGAAGCGCCGGTGAAGACGAAGAGCTTCCTGTTCCGTATATCTGAGACACTGCTGGAGAGGCTAACGGGGAGCCTCCTCGCACTGCACGCACCTATCATAGAATATTTTGTGCGCAGGTTGTAGCCAATGTTCATTGCTCACTTGCATGAGTGCCTCGTCTAGACCAGAGGTTAGTCCTCTCTGTGCACCAACACCTCGTCCGAAGCGACTATTACATAGAACCTCTAGGAACTGACCCACTGAGAACTTAAACGAACAGTAAAGACCATCCCCACAGCGGAGTATTGTAAGCACGATATATAGCAAAAACCTCCGATACAATCTAATAAAACAATACAGCGCCTTAAAAACGATTGTTAAACGGTCTTAGGCACTATAAAGCAGGTGACAGCTGACGGCAAGCCCTCCGCGCAAGGACCTGCGGCTTACCCGGTAACGCAGTCTCTCTAAGGTATCAATCTTTCCCCGACGAAACCGAGCAAACAAGAGCCTTAAACCTCTCTTAAGCGCCCAGAAGGTTTTTCTTTCGCAAAACTCTAAATTTCTATCTGACATCTAATCTTCTCTCAAAAGGACTATAAAACTGTCAAATAGAAATCAGAGAATAATAGAGGAGCTGTGTCGGTAAAAGATTACAGAACAAACAGAATATTAATGGACTATGAGCGGGTAACCAAAGGGGTCTATTTGAGAGAGCAATACAAAGCTCCCCCCATCAACTAATTCTTGAGCATATCCGTATTAACAGTCATAGGAGCGCTATTCAATCAAAACATGATCGTTATAGAGACAATTGATGACTCTCAGCACAAATATTTGATTAGTATTTGTCCAATTAACGGAACCTAGTGCGTCAGAATATCTGACTAGAAACTCATTGATCCTACTAACTCAATACATTTAGGATACAAACACAAGAAGAAAACACCTCTGTAGACATTGTACATGGTTCATTGAAAATACCCGGTAAAAGAAAATTAAAACACCATGAGCTGCTTACTCGGGCGCCGGAGATATCGAACGAGCAAAGTACAGGCCCAGTGTACGCGCGCCAGCCAGGTTGCGATGACGCGCGCTGCACCGCGAGCACTGCTGACTGCGCAGATGCTCTCCCCTCCAGTCTCATCGTCCAACTCATCATCTCCACTCGACCTGCGAGAGTCACTCTCGTCTACGTCCCTATATACGATCAGTATCAGTGTCATTCAGTCTATTTAATCTCTTCTTCTCATCTTGCCAGATGTGGCAGTAAACAAGCGCCACCATAGCTCGATATATTACAGTTATGTGTCAAAAACGCCAGAACTCCAGTGTCTGCACAAGACGGAAACATACACTAAGACAGTACCAATCACTCTATCTAAAAGTACAGGACCAGAAGATCTAAACATTTACACGAAATTGAAACAACAGATCTACAGACAAATGTCACTAGAGAGAAATTAGTAGAGCGAGCGACCACTAAACCAAGTTGCTAGTCTTCAAACAGCGAGAGAAGTGAGACAAATCAGTCTAGTGCATCTAGGTTCACACACTCGATACAACAGAGTGTGGATAGTGTCAATCAGCTGCGTCATTAGAGAGAGCAGGACAGACGATGACATGTCCTCTCTCATCATCTCAAGTAAGCGCAGGCATATTTCCTTCTCGGCCTACAAGGGAGGCGAAGAAGCTGGCGAAGCAGGGATCTCGGTCCAAAAGACAAGTCTACTTGACAATTCACCTAACGAGGACGATCTAGCGAGTATAGTAATAACAATGTCTCAAGAAGTGGTAAAACACACACAAAGCGGACATAAAGATGCCTTTGCGTACTAACCACGCCCCTGTGACTATGAGTCTCCCCGTAACTATTCTATTGGGAGTGCCTGGAAAAATCGTAAAAGATATCTGGGAAGAGACCACTTTTTAGGCAGAGACTAGACTCTTTTCTATGTAGCTAGACAACACTATATCACAGCTGCAAGGACTGGAGAGCGCGCTGGTCGCCGCGAGCACAGCAGGCAGCCATCTGACAGCCGAGTTCTCCAGAGCGAGAGACACTTTGTATGAAACTACCAATAGATCTTCCGAGATATTTATTGCCGCAAACTCATCACTACCTAAGCAAGTATCATATCCATTCCGCAAACCTCCCAACACATGACTAACTTACATTCTGGAGCCCTATCCACTAGTTCGCTCACTCTTGGAGAGAGCTTAAAGAGACGCCCGTATCTGCAACCAGTGAAATATAATAGAGAATTAATGAGGGGTATCGAGCGCGAGTTGCGCGGATGGCTATCAATTCACAACTGGACGATGCAAGGACTGGAGTCCCCGCAACGCTCTGAGTCTATATCTAGCCTCTTCACGGAGTATGAGAATGCCGCCACTGGGGCGTTCTCCTCAACAATACAGCTCGAGCGTTACTTCTATGTGGAGCGCGATCCGGAACTAAATCTATGATTGTACATGAAAGCGAGCGGAAGGTACACAGAGCAAATACGGAAGTAAATAGATTGGTGACCGTAGGAAGGAAGGACTAAGTCATTGGAGCCAAGTCTGCGACGCAAGAACACTCATCATGGAACGCGGTATATAGAAGTACACAACAGTAACACCAGAAGAGAGCAAGCTGTTGATTAAGCGACGTCGTAACAAGCCTCCACCGCGTGAGCGGCCTCACAAGGGCGTTAATGCAGTACGACAAGTACACATCAATCAGGAGCGGAGACATCTAAGTAGCTCCTCACACATGACGTAGTCCGCATCACGATAGCTTCTGGTGGTAGTCGTGTTTTTATCGCGAGCGACTATCCTGACGTGTTAACGCTCACTAAATAGCATACACATCGAAGACTCTGGTTGAGAGCCACTCTTGAGAATGCGAGTCTATCACTCCTATTAGGTACTGTATTCTGTACTAAGAGTGCTGCGTATCTCTGGCACTGAGTATCCGTGCTTGTGGCGATCGACCATCGTCACTAAAGTTTATGACTCTATGACTTGTATGATACGAGGACACAACACCTAGCGACCTATAAATAGAAATTGCCATGTCAGTACTTAGCGACAATGACATATTCTATGATGCGTATCTGTAGATGAACAGTAAAACGAATCTGGAAAACAGCTTTCGGCAGACCAGTGCGAGTGCATACGACGAAAAACATTAAATAAAGATAAGCTTCTACAGGAAGTTATGTGCTAGCACACCACGTATCCCGTGACGGCCATAGGCTGGATGTAACCCAAGAGTCCCTTGAGAACGCCCACTACAATCCCCAGCTTCTGAGGGCTAGCAGACATTTATTCTCATGTTAATAGCAGAATGCACCCTAACAAACGTCATCTACAATCCTTGGCACCGGCAGGGAGGCCGAGAGCGAATTGCGACACAAGGATGAGGCGTCCTCGCTCTGAGAGACAGAAAGGGCGTGCTGAGCATCAGCCGCGGACTCCTAGAGCCAAGAAAGTGTCCGTAATGGTAGAGAGACCAGAGAGAGAGACCAGAGAGAGACTAGAGAGAGGCCAGAGAGAGACCAGAGAGAGACCAGAGAGAGACCAGAGAGAGACTAGAGAGAGACCAGACAGAGACCAGCGAGAGACTAGAGAGAGACCAGAGGGAGACTAGAGAGAGACTAGAGAGAGACCAGAGAGAGACCAAAGAGAGACCAGAGAGAGACTAGAGAGAGACTAGAAAGAGACCAAAGAGAGACCAGAGAGAGACCAGAGGGAGACTAGAGAGAGACTAGAGAGAGACTAGAGAGAGACTAGAGAGAGACTAGAGAGAGACTAGAGAGAGACCAGAGAGAGACTAGAGAGAGACCAGAGAGAGACTTGAGAGAGACCAGAGAGAGACTAGAAAGAGACTAGAGAGACACCAAAGAGAGACCAAAGAGAGACTAGAGAGAGACTAGAAAGAGACCAAAGAGAGACCAGAGAGAGACAGAGAGAGACTAGAGAGAGACTAGAGAGAGACTAGAGACTAGAGAGAGACCAGAGAGAGACTAGAGAGAGACCAGAGAGAGACTAGAGAGAGACCAGAGAGAGACTAGAGAGAGACCAGAGAGAGACTAGAGAGAGACCAGAGAGAGAGACCAGAGAGAGACCAGAGAGAGACCAGAGAGAGACCAGAGAGAGACCAGAGAGAGACTAGAGAGAGACTAGAGAGAGACTAGAGAGAGACTAGAGAGAGACTAGAGAGAGACTAGAGAGAGACTAGAGAGAGACCAGAGAGAGACTAGAGAGAGACTAGAGAGAGACCAGAGAGAGACTAGAGAGAGACTAGAGAGAGACTAGAGAGAGAGACTAGAGAGAGACTAGAGAGAGACTAGAGAGAGACCAGAGAGAGACTAGAGAGAGACCAGAGAGAGACCAGAGAGAGACCAGAGAGAGACCAGAGAGAGACCAGAGAGAGACTAGAGAGAGACTAGAGAGAGACTAGAGAGAGACTAGAGAGAGACTAGAGAGAGACTAGAGAGAGACCAGAGAGAGACTAGAGAGAGACTAGAGAGAGAGAGACTAGAGAGAGACCAGAGAGAGACCAGAGAGACCAGAGAGAGACCAGAGAGAGACTAGAGAGAGACTAGAGAGAGACCAGAGAGAGACTAGAGAGAAACTAGAGAGAGACTAGAGAGAGACTAGAGAGAGACCAGAGAGAGACTAGAGAGAGACTAGAGAGAGACCAGAGAGAGACCAGAGAGAGACCAGAGAGAGACTAGAGAGAGACCAGAGAGAGCGACCAGAGAGAGACTAGAGAGAGACCAGAGAGAGACCAGAGAGAGACTAGAGAGAGACTAGAGAGACCAAAGAGAGACTAGAGAGAGACCAGAGAAAGAGACCAGAGAGAGACCAGAGAGAGACCAGAGAGAGACTAGAGAGAGACCAGAGAGAGACTAGAGAGAGACCAGAGAGAGACTAAAGAGAGACTAGAGAGAGACCAGAGAGAGACCAGAGAGAGACTAGAGAGAGACTAGAGAGATACCAGAGGGAGACTAGAGAGAGACTAGAGAGAGACTAGAGAGAGACTAGAGAGAGACCAGAGAGAGACTAGAGAGAGACTAGAGAGAGACTTGAGAGAGACCAGAGAGAGAATAGAAAGAGACTAGAGAGAGACCAAAGAGAGACCAGAGAGAGACTAGAGAGAGACTAGAAAGAGACCAAAGAGAGACTAGAGAGAGACCAGAGAGAGACTAGAGAGAGACTAGGGAGAGACTAGAGAGAGATTAGAGAGAGACTAGAGAGAGACTAGAGAGAGACCAGAGAGAGAGACCAGAGAGAGACCAGAGAGAGACTAGAGAGAGACTAGAGAGAGGCCAGAGAGAGACCAGAGAGAGACCAGAGAGAGACTAGAGAGAGACCAGACAGAGACCAGCGAGAGACTAGAGAGAGACTAGAGAGAGACTAGAGAGAGACTAGAGAGAGACTAGAGAGAGACTAGAGAGAGACTAGAGAGAGACCAGAGAGAGACTAGAGAGAGACTAGAGAGAGACTAGAGAGAGACTAGAGAGAGACTAGAGAGAGACCAGAGAGAGACTTGAGAGAGACCAGAGAGAGACTAGAGAGAGACTAGAGAGAGACCAGAGAGAGACTAGAGAAAGACCACAGAGAGACTAGAGAGAGACTAGAGAGAGACCAGAGAGAGACTAGAGAGAGACTAGAGAGAGACTAGAGAGAGACTAGAGAGAGACTAGAGAGAGACCAGAGAGAGACCAGAGAGAGACCAGAGAGAGACTAGAGAGAGACTAGAGAGAGACCAGAGAAAGACCAGAGAGAGACTAGAGAGAGACTAGAGAGAGACCAGAGAGAGACTAGAGAGAGACTAGAGAGAGACCAAAGAGAGACCAGAGAGAGACTAGAGAGAGACTTGAGAGAGACCAGAGAGAGACTAGAGAGAGACTAGAGAGAGACCAAAGAGAGACCAGAGAGAGACTAGAGAGAGACTAGAAAGAGACCAAAGAGAGACCAGAGAGAGACCAGAGAGAGACTAGAGAGAGACCAGAGAGAGACTAGAGAGAGACCAGAGAGAGACTAGAGAGAGACCAGAGAGACTAGAGAGAGACTAGAGAGAGACCAGAGAGAGAGAGACCAGAGAGAGACTAGAGAGAGACTAGAGAGAGACTAGAGAGACCAGAGAGAGACTAGAGAGAGACCAGAGAGAGAGACCAGAGAGAGACCAGAGAGAGACCAGAGACAGACTAGAGAGAGACCAGAGAGAGACTAAAGAGAGAGTAGAGAGAGACTAGAGAGAGACCAGAGAGAGACACCAGAGAGAAACTACAGAGAGACTAGAGACAGACTAGAGAGAGACCAGAGAGAGAGACCAGAGAGAGACTAGAGAGAGACTAGAGAGACCAAAGAGAGACTTAGAGAGAGACCAGAGAGAGAGACCAGAGAGAGACCAGAGAGAGACCAGAGAGAGACTAGAGAGAGACCAGAGAGAGACTAGAGAGAGACCAGAGAGAGACTAAAGAGAGACTAGAGAGAGACCAGAGAGAGACCAGAGAGAGACTAGAGAGAGACTAGAGAGAGACCAGAGGGAGACTAGAGAGAGACTAGAGAGAGACTAGAGAGAGACTAGAGAGAGACCAGAGAGAGACGAGAGAGAGACTAGAGAGAGACTTGAGAGAGACCAGAGAGAGACCAGAGAGAGACTAGAGAGAGACTAGAGAGAGACTAGAGAGAGACCAGAGAGAGACTAGAGAGAGACGAGAGAGAGACCAGAGAGAGACCAGAGAGAGACCAGAGAGAGACTAGAGAGAGACCAGAGAGAGACCAGAGAGAGACTAAAGAGAGACTAGAGAAAGACCAGAGAGAGACACCAGAGAGAAACTACAGAGAGACTAGAGACAGACTAGAGAGAGACCAGAGAGAGCAGAGAGAGACTAGAGAGAGACTAGAGAGAGACCAGAGAGAGAGACCAGAGAGAGACTAGAGAGACCGAAGAGAGACTAGAGAGAGACCAGAGAGAGAGACCAGAGAGAGACCAGAGAGAGACCAGAGAGAGACTAGAGAGAGACCAGAGAGAGACCAGAGAGAGACCAGAGAGAGACTAAAGAGAGACTAGAGAGAGACCAGAGAGAGACCAGAGAGAGACCAGAGAGAGACCAGAGAGAGACCAGAGAGAGACTAGAGAGAGACTAGAGAGAGACCAGAGAGTGGACCAGAGAGAGAAGGAGAGCAGAGAGAGAGACCAGAGAGAGACAGAGAGAGAGAGAGAGACCAGAGAGAGAGAAACCAGAGAGAGACTAGAGAGAGAGACCAGAGAGAGAGAGACTAGAGAGAGACCAGAGAGAGACTAGAGAGAGACCAGAGAGAGACCAGAGAGAGAGAAGACCAGTTATTTTGTGGGACGTCCCATCAGCAGAGGTCATAATCTTGCTGCTGATGTTAGATGATGTCACACTGTAGTGGAACGTTGCAGAGAAAAAGTGTCTGAGGCTAAAGATAGAAGAGGAGGAGGAGAGGAGGGGGAGGGGGCGGAAGGGTGTGGGGGGGGGGGGGCTGCGTTACCTTGGCAACGCTCCAGATATGGCAGTGTGTCCTTCAAACACAGGTGGAACATAGAGCTCATAGCGAGAAGGAATAACGACTCTCTCTAGTCTCTCTCTGGTCTCTCTCTGGTCTCTCTCTGGTCTCTCTCTCTAGTCTCTCTCTGGTCTCTCTCTGGTCTCTCTCTAGTCTCTCTCTGGTCTCTCTCTAGTCTCTCTCTAGGCTTTCTCAGGTCTCTCTCTGGTCTCTCTCTGGTCTCTCTCTAGTCTCTCTCTAGTCTCTCTCTGGTCTCTCTCTGGTCTCTCTCCGGTCTCTCTCTGGTCTCTCTCTCTAGTCTCTCTCTGGTCTCTCTCTGGTCTCTCTCTGGTCTCTCTCTAGTCTCTCTCTAGTCTCTCTCTGGTCTCTCTCTGGTCTCTCTCTGGTCTCTCTCTGGTCTCTCTCTGGTCTCTCTCTGGTCTCTCTCTGGTCTCTCTCTGGTCTCTCCCTCTGGTCTCTCTCTCTCGGTCTCTCTCTCTGGTCTCTCTCTCCGGTCTCTCTCTCCGGTCTCTCTCTCCGGTCTCTCTGGTCTCTCTCTGGTCTCTCTCTGGTCTCTCTCAGGTCTCTCTCTGGTCTCTCTGGTCTCTCTCTGGTCTCTCTCTGGTCTCTCTCCGGTCTCTCTCTGGTCTCTCTCTGGTCTCTCTCTCTGGTCTCTCTCTCTGGTCTCTCTCTCTGGTCTCTCTCTCCGGTCTCTCTCTCCGGTCTCTCTCTCTGGTCTCTCTCTGGTCTCTCTCTCTGGTCTCTCTGGTCTCTCTCTGGTCTCTCTCTGGTCTCTCTCTGGTCTCTCTCTGGTCTCTCTCTGGTCTCTCTCTCTGGTCTCTCTCTCTGGTCTCTCTCTCTGGTCTCTCTCTCCGGTCTCTCTCTCCGGTCTCTCTCTCCGGTCTCTCTGGTCTCTCTCTGGTCTCTCTCTGGTCTCTCTCTGGTCTCTCTGGTCTCTCTCTGGTCTCTCTCTGGTCTCTCTCTGGTCTCTCTCTGGTCTCTCTCTCTGGTCTCTCTCTCTGGTCTCTCTCTCGGTCTCTCTCTGGTCTCTCTCTGGTCTCTCTCTGGTCTCTCTCTCTGGTCTCTCTCTCTGGTCTCTCTCTCTGGTCTCTCTCTCCGGTCTCTCTCTCCGGTCTCTCTCTCTGGTCTCTCTCTGGTCTCTCTCTGGTCTCTCTCTGGTCTCTCTCTGGTCTCTCTCTGGTTTCACTGGAACAGAACACAATGTTCTCTGATTCAGCAAAGTCAAGACAAGAGCAGTGAGGGGGAGGAGGAGCAGTGAGGAGGAGAAGTGAGGAGGAGCAGAGAGGAGGAGAAGTGAGAGGGAGAAGTGAGGAGGAGGAGCAGAGAGGAGGAGCAGTGAGGAGGAGCAGAGAGGAGGAGGAGCAGTAAGGAGGAGGTTCAGATTGACAGATACCTCTTTGACCAGGAGTCAGAAACATTCTTCACTGATGTCCTGGATCTATGTAAAGAGACCAGAGAGAGACCAGAGAGAGACCAGAGAGAACCCAGAGAGAGAGACCAGAGAGAGAGAGCAGAGAGAGAGACCAGAGAGAGACCAGAGAGAGACCAGAGAGAGACCAGCGAGAGAGACCAGAGAGAGAGACCAGAGAGAGAGACCAGAGAGAGACCAGAGAGAGACCAGCGAGAGAGACCAGAGAGAGAGACCAGAGAGAGAGACCAGAGGGAGAGACCAGAGAGAGACCAGAGAGAGACCAGAGAGAGACCAGAGAGAGACCAGAGAGAGACCAGAGAGAGACCAGCGAGAGAGACCAGCGAGAGAGACCAGAGAGAGAGACCGGAGAGAGAGACCAGAGAGACTGTCTCTTTAATAATGAAGTGACCCACTTGTGTGTTGCTCAGAGGCACAATGGCTCCTTTCAAACATCTCCACATTAATTATTCACCACGTCTGCTTTAAAGCTGGAGTCTGTAGATACTGACTCACAGGGACCTACAAATACTGACTCACAGGGACCTGTAGATACTGACTCACAGGGACATACTGACTCACAGGGACCTGTATATTCTGACTCACAGGGACATACTGACTCACAGGGACCTGTAGATACTGACTCACAGGTACCTGCAGATACTGACTCACAGGTACCTGCAGATACTGACTCACAGGGATCTGTAGATACTGACTCACAGGGATCTGTAGATACTGACTCACAGGGACCTGTAGATACTGACTCACAGGTACCTGCAGATACTGACTCACAGGGACCCGTAGATACTGACTCACAGGGACATACTGACTCACAGGGACCTGTAGATACTGACTCACAGGTACCTGCAGATACTGACTCACAGGGACCCGTAGATACTGACTCACAGGGACCCGTAGATACTGACTCACAGGGACATACTGACTCACAGGGACCTGTAGATACTGACTCACAGGGACCTGTAGATTCTGACTCACAGGGACTTGCAGATACTGACTCACAGGGACCATGGTCCTCCATTGCTGCTTGCTGTTCTATTTGATTGAACTCATTTGCATAACGCAGGATTAGTGTTGAATGGGCCTTTGTCACCGCGGCAACAGCAGCCATTAACACTCCACTCAGAGACCTGGACCAGGACCAGGAATGAGACCAGGACTGAGACCAGGACCAGGACCAGGACCAGGACTAGGACAAGGACTGAGAAAAAGACCAGGACCAAGTCTCCCTCGTGTCTCCCTCCGGTGTCTCCCTCCGGTGTCTCCCTCCGGTGTCTCCCTCCGGTGTCTCCCTCGTGTCTCCCTCCGGTGTCTCCCTCCGGTCTCCCTCCGGTCTCTTGGTGACAGTGTCAGTCCCTGTGGAACTCATTCAGAGCCGAGTCCATTCACAAAACAGTGAATAAAACGTTACATAAGACCTGAGCCTTAGACCTGCTTTAGACCTGCTTTAGACTTGCTCTAGACCTGAGCCTTAGACCTGCTTTAGACCTGCTTTAGATTTGCTCTAGACCTGAGCCTTAGACCTGCTTTAGACCTGCTTTAGACTTGCTCTAGACCTGAGCCTTAGACCTGAGCTTTAGACTTGCTCTAGACCTGAGCCTTAGACCTGCTTTAGACTTGCTCTGGACCTGAGCCTTAGAGCTGAACTAAAGCTCAGGTCTGTAACTTTAGTCTAAATAACACAACAATTTATTCTTGTATTTCCCTAAATCAGAGCAGCATCGTCTCAGAGACTTACAGTAAAAAAATCTATTGAAATTACCACAGATCAGAGAATAAACAGTTAACACACAGAGATAATATAGAACACATGTTGATAAATGTCATACATGTGATAAATGTCATACATGTTGATAAATGTCACACATGTGATAAATGTCATACATGTGATAAATGTCATACATGTTGATAAATATCATACATGTGATAAATGTCATACATGTGATAAATGTCATACATGTTGATAAATGTCACTCATGTTGATAAATGTCATACATGTGATAAATGTCACACATGTTGATAAATGTCACACATGTGATAAATGTCATACATGTGATAAATGTCCTACATGTTGATAAATGTCATACATGTGATAAATGTCATACATGTGATAAATGTCATACATGTTGATAAATGTCACACATGTGATAAATGTCATACATGTGATAAATGTCATACATGTGATAAATGTCATACATGTTGATAAATGTCACTCATGTTGATAAATGTCATACATGTGATAAATGTCACACATGTTGATAAATGTCATACATGTGATAAATGTCACACATGTTGATAAATGTCATACATGTGATAAATGTCATACATGTTGATAAATGTCACACATGTTGAAAAATGTCATACATGTTGATAAATGTCACACATGTTGATCAATGTCATACATGTTGATAAATGTCATACATGTGATAAATGTCATACATGTGATAAATTACATACATGTTAATAAATGTCATACATGTTGATAAATGTCATACATGTTGATAAATGTCATACATGTAATAAATGTCATACATGTTGATAAATGTCATACATGTGATAAATGTCACACATGTTGATAAATGTCATACATGTGATAAATGTCATACATGTTGATAAATGTCATACATGTTGATATATGTCACACATGTTGATAAATGTCATACTTGTGATAAATGTCACACATGTTGATAAATGTCACACGTGTTGATTAATGTCACACATGTGAGAAATGTCATACATGTTGATAAATGTCATACATGTGATAAATGTCACACATGTGATAAATGTCATACATGTTGATAAATGTCATACATGTTGATAAATGTCAAACATGTTGATAAATGTCACACATGTTGATATATGTCACACATGTTGATAAATGTCATACATGTTTATAAATGTCATACATGTGATAAATGTCACACGTGTTGATAAATGTCATACATGTTTATACATTTCATACATGTGATAAATGTCATACATGTGATAAATGTCATACATGTTGATAAATGTCACACATGTTGATAAATGTCGCAGATGTTGATAAATGTCATACATGTTGATAAATGTTATACATGTGATAAATGTCATACATGTTGATAAATGTCATACATGTTGATAAATGTCATACATGTGATAAATGTCATACATGTGATAAATGTCATACATGTTGATAAATGTCATACATGTGATATATGTCACACATGTTGATAAATGTCACACATGTTGATAAATGTCATACATGTTGATAAATGTCATACAAGTGATAAATGTCATACATGTTGATAAATGTCATACATGTTTATAAATGTCATACATGTGATATATGTCACACATGTTGATAAATGTCATACATGTGATATATGTTACACATGTTGATAAATGTCATACATGTAACAATTGTCACACATGTTGATAAATGTCACACGTGTTGATAAATGTCACATGTTGAGAAATGTCACACATGTGATAAATGTCACACATGTGATAAATGTCACACATGTTGATAAATGTCACACATGTTGATAAATGTCACACATGTTGATAAATGTCATACATGTTGATAAATATCATACATGTTGATAAATGTCATACATGTGATAAATGTCCTACATGTTGATAAATGTCATACATGTGATAAATGTCATACATGTGATAAATGTCATACATGTTGATAAATGTCACACATGTTGATAAATGTCACACATGTGATAAATGTCAAACATGTGATAAATGTCACACATGTTGATAAATGTCACACATGTGATAAATGTCGAACATGTGATAAATGTCACACATGTTGATAAATGTCACACATGTTGATAAATGTCATACATGTTGATAAATGTCATATATGTGATAAATGTCACACATGTTGATAAATGTCACACATGTTGATAAATGTCATGTTGATAAATGTCATACATGTGATAAATGTCATACATGTTGATAAATGTCACACATGTTGATATATGTCATACATGTGATATATGTTACACATGTTGATAAATGTCATACATGTGATAAATGTCACACGTGTTGATTAATGTCACACGTGATTGTCACACGTGTTGATAAATGTCACACGTGTTGATAAATGTCACACGTGTTGATAAATGTCACACGTGTTGATAAATGTCACACGTGTTGATAAATGTCACACGTGTTGATAAATGTCACACGTGTTGATAAATGTCACACGTGTTGATAAATGTCACACGTGTTGATAAATGTCACACGTGTTGATAAATGTCACACGTGTTGATAACTGTCACACGTGTTGATAAATGTCACACGTGTTGATAAATGTGACACGTGTTGATAAATGTGACACGTGTTGATAAATGTGACACGTGTTGATAAATGTGACACGTGTTGATAAATGTGACACGTGTTGATAAATGTGTTACGTGTTGATAAATGTGACACGTGTTGATAAATGTGACACGTGTTGATATACGTCACACGTGTTGATATACGTCACACGTGTTGATATACGTCACACGTGTTGATATACGTCACACGTGTTGATATACGTCACACGTGTTGATATACGTCACACGTGTTGATATACGTCACACGTGTTGATATACGTCACACGTGTTGATATACGTCACACGTGTTGATATATGTCATACATGTGATAAATGTCACACATAATAATAATCTTTATGTGTATAGCACTTTTAAAAACAATGTTTACAAAGCGCTGCACAGTCAGCATGATCAACAATAAAACAGTCAAAATAAAAGGTCAAAATAATTAGATACAGAAACACAAAGCAAACAGAGCAAAGCACAAAAGAGACACAACAAAGACAAAGCAGACATTAAAATACAGCATGTGAAGTTTAAAACTAACAGTTAAAAGCTGTTTGATAAAAGTGGGTTTTAAGAAGTGTTTTAAAAGAGGATACTGATGGTGATAGCCTTATCTCCTCGGGCAGGTCGTTCCAAAGCCGAGGAGCCCGGACAGAGAAGGCTCGGTCTCCTTTTGTTCGGAGCCTCGACCTTGGAACAGCCACACGGACCTGCCCGAGGATCTAAGGTTGCGGGGGGGCTCGTAGGGGGTTAAAAGTTCAGAAATATAGCTTGGTGCCAGACCTAAACGAGCTTTAAAAGTAATCAGTAAAATCTTAAAATCAATTCTAAAACGCACAGGGAGCCAGTGGAGTTACGCTAAAACAGGGGTGATGTGCTCCCTTCTGTTAAAACCAGTGAGAAGTCTGGCTGCTGCGTTCTGGACCAGTTGGAGGCGGGAGAGGGATTTAGCGTCGAGACCGGAGAGGAGGGAGTTGCAGTAGTCGAGGCGGGAGAATATGAGGGCGTTGACAACTTTATGGAGATCGGGAGGAGTGAGAATGTTTTTAATCTTTGAGATTGTGCGGAGGTGAAAGAAGCAGGATTGGGTGGTTTTATTGATGTGGGAGCGGAAGGTGAGGTGAGAATCGAAAATGACACCAAGGTTACGGGCGGAGGGAGTGATGTTTGAGGAAAGGGGGCCGAGGTGGGTTTGGATGTGGGATATAGATGGAGGCGGGTTGATGAGGAGGACTTCAGATTTGGAGGTGTTGAGTTGAAGGAAGTTGTGGGCCATCCAACGGTTCACATCGTTAAAACAGTCGACCACAGCAGACAGACTCCAGGGTCGTTTGGTCTCAGCGGGAGGTAGATCTGTGTGTCGTCCGCAGAGCAGTGGAAGGACACGTTATGACGGGCCATAACGTGTCCTAGGGGGAGCATATAAAAATAAAATAAAATGGAACCTAAAATAGAACCCTGCGGCACACCACAGGTAATGGGGGCTGTTGAGGAGGTAAAATCACCCATGGTGACCGCAAAGGTTCTGTCTAAAAGATAAGAATGAAACCAACCAAGTGCAGTATCTCTGATGCCAACCCACGTTTTGAGGCGATCCAATAAAATCTTGTGGTCGATCGTGTCAAAGGCTGCGCTTAGGTCTAAAAGAACTCAAATAGAGCACCCTCCGCTGTCTGTGGTTAAAAGAAGGT